ACGCATACTCTCAAACACCGCGTCGCTACTCTCCTCCTCCCTCCCACTACTACTCCCCGACGACTGCATTGCCCCCTCCTCCTCCTCCTCGGCCAACACCCTCCCCGCCATTTGCGAAAGGCGTCTATACGATAAAATTGGAACGATGGATGGCTAGCTTCACCAGTAAAACGAGAGGCCAATGGTGTGAGAAGGGGGAGATCAAGGCCAAGTCTTATAGGTAAAACACAGAAGAGAAGGGAGCGTTTTGTTCGGCTCGAATTCTTTGCTTTCGATGAGCTGTTTAGTAACGTTCTCTTGCTCGATCGTGCCATAGGGGATTTAATAATGTTTTTTCTTTGGTGGTGGAGAGGCGTACGCCAATGGCGGAGGTGAGGTGTTGCCAAAGATGGCCGACTTTGGCATAGTTTTTTTCTTTTTTTGGCGGTTGGATGTATGCTTTGGGGGCCGTCGAAGGAATCTTAACGTATGGTAGGCCGTCTTTGGTTGGATCTTTTTGAAGAGAGTTGCATTAATTAGGAATGGTTCGTTCTTCATGATGGTGCATTTGTAGTTGCTACGTGGATCGATCCATATAAAATAGCCGACAATGTGGGCGTATAGCCGATTAGCTAGAGAACACGAATGAGGATTTTGTGCCGTGAGGTAAAAGTTGGCATTAGGGGATGACAATTTCAACATTGGCCTATTTGATTTGATTTGTTTCACTTGTTTTTGGGTGGTAAAGTAGGGCGTGAGATGGGACATGGATATACTACTATGCTTAATCCGTCTTATTTTCGATCCAATTTTTTTTTCTCTCTAAATAATATGTCACGCACGGATTGGGGGCAATCGATAATGCAAGAATGAAAATGATAGCGCGAGGAAAGTAGAAAACACGCATATTTACATGTGGTTCGCTAACACAACGTGGGTTAATTAGCTAGTCCATACGGGCGGGAGAGATCAAGCTTTCATTATACTTGAGGAGAGATACAGATTACAACGAGATCCCCATCCGTGACTTCCGGTACTCGAATGCTGATAATCCGATTAAACCATATCGACAATATAGTTCTCTTTTTTACCATTGTAAGCGAATTCATCGGTCCCGGTATTCCAGCAAAAGGATAGACACGGCTGAAGCACCCGCGCCTGCGCTCTCGCGATCCGAAGGTCATAGGAAAGGTTACTCAAGTTAGTTAGAAATTTACTTTACATTACCTCATATTTTAGCGACACTAAAGTTGTAAACAGGCGAGAACTTCAATTTCTCTAGTTATTTAACTACATTTTATCGTGTTATAGTTTGTTTCTTGATTTTTTAATGAAAGTTCAATATTTTTCTACATTACCCACCATGATAAATTATTTGATGTACGATCAAACGAATATCGGCTTACCCCCAACCTGTCCCATTGACATTTGTACTTGAGGTAGTATCGATGATATGGATTGGAGGCATAGTAGCGGAATGCATTATTACCAAGATTGTCTTGTTTACAATGCAAGTTTGTATGGACTCTGCCATGTCAAGGTAACAATGTATACCAAAAAGGAAAATTTGTTATATTTTTTATGCATACTAGGTGAATTATGTGCCGCGTTTCGCTGCAGCTTCCCATATGATTAGATATATTGTTTGTTAACCCGTATTTGATTTGTAACCGTGTTTAGCAGTGGTCTAGTAGAAAAACTTCTACCGGAATCTAAATTGTTAGGAGATTTTAATTGTATGCAATGATTTAATCACAGTTGAACTTCAATTTTAGAAGAAAATACCCTTATGCTAACTTTTTCGGTAAGACCTTCGGTATGGTTTTACAATTTTTTTCTGTTTTTCCTGAACATGCATTGTAGCTCGGGTTGGAGCAACGTGTCAACCCTGATTTAACGACGATTGAACTTTGATTTTAGCACAAAATATCATAATTCTAACTTTCCCAGTCGTAAAATCTCATCTACGAGGGGGAAATGTACTAGCAGCCAATTTTACCTCTTTTAACTAGAGTACCACCTTCGATGTGGTTTTACAATTTTTGTTAGTTTTTTTTCTTGAACATAAATCAAGGCTCAGCTTGGAAGCAATGTGTCAAGCCTGATCTTAACACGGTTGAACTACAATTTTAGTACAAAATACTGTAATACTAACTTTATCCGTACAACCTTAGGTATGGTTTTACAATTTTGGTTTTTTAACATCATTCGAGGCTCGGTTGGAGCAACATGTCAAGCCGTATTTAATCGCGGTTGAACTACGATTGTACCATACTGACGGTGCAATCAAAAAAGTCCTAACGAAATCTAAATCGGTAGGTGATTTTAGTTGTATGAAATATTTGACGACAATTGTACTACAGTTTTAGGACAAAATGCTCTAATGCTAACTCTTTCGGTACGACCATAGGAATGGTTTAAAAAAAAAATCTGAACATGCATCGAGGCTTTGGTTGATGCAAACTGTCAAGCCTGATCTAACCACTATTGAACTACGATTTTAGCACAAAGTACCCTAATGCTAACTATCAGTAGTGTTCGAGGTTGTGAATCCAGTTTGGCCCATTGACCCGGTCGAGTTAGTGAGTCAAGAATTAATAAGTATTTGTGAAACCATACGGTATTGGTGGTTCGGCCATAAAAATATTCTAACGGTAGGTGGTTTTTAACCTATGAAATGGTTAAACCATAGTTGAACCACGACTTCGATACAAAATACTCTACCACTAACTTTTTTGGTACAACCTCTAATACCAAACCTTCAAATTAATCCCATGCAAACCAAATAATTGTTTGTGAAACCATACGGTATTGGCAGTTCGACCATACAAATATTCTATCGGTAGGTGATTTTTAACGTATGAAATGGTTGAATCACAACTTCGATACAAAATACCCTACTGCTAACTTTTTTAATACAACCTCTAATACCAAATCTTCAAACTAATCTCAAATTTTCAAATTAATCTCATGCAAACCATAAAATAAATAAAAAAATGCCACTACTTAAAGGGACACGCATAAGTGACAGGAGAGGAACTATTTTACATGGAAGCGGAATTCTTGCGGGTGAACTAAAATGATGACAGCTTGTTTATATTAGCAACACTCTTATGGAACAGTAACACAATTGTATCTTTAATAATATTCATAGATAAGCGGAATTTTATTCAGCAAAAGAGTTCAGGGTCGATAAGAAATGGATGAATTCCAAAGGACTCTGTTAAAATAATTGGTGACTTTTCGACACTTGAATTAATGAATTTAGAGTAATGTTTACTTCCACAACTAATGGCGATAAAATTATTGCAAACCAAAGTACAATGCACATACAACTCTATTATATTAGGACAAAAAGTCAAAACCTTGTTTTCGTTTCTTTCTCTGCCTTCTCTTGTTTTAGTATCGTTGTTTCTCTTCTTTCTTTCGGCTCATGCCATTGCCAGCTGTGGTGGAGATTTTGTACATTTCTCTGCCACCTTTTAATTTTCTTTTTTATTATTAATATACATTGTTCCGTCTTATGTATGTTAGACTTGCGAAAATTCTATCGTACGAGTTTTGATATTTAGATCATGAATTAACCGAATTCGTACATAATATTATATAATTTTCTCTATTTGATGAACCTCAATCCCAAATTCTCTACCAAAATTGTAAGAATTACTTAATTTATAAATATAACGAATCGAAATATAATGAAGTACATTTAATAGATGTCCACGCAACAATGTTAATTATTGCTATAAAAGCTTATCAGACAGCTAGCTTTCTTGAAAGTAAAACAATGCCCACGCAACAATGTGAAGTAGTTGGGCTCAAGTTCGTTTGTTTGTACTGTTTCCAGGTTCCAAAATCATAGTTTCCAGGGTTTGAAACTCCCGAGAAAACTCCAAAACAAACAGTCCTTTCTTTTTCAATGCGAGGAGAAGTAAAACCTCATCAAGATCAAGTTAATCAGCATCAAGAAACTACCATCAGTCAAGAACCTGAATCATCATCATCAGGATCCATTAGACCATTACCATAATTTTTGTGGCTCCAATCGGGTTTAATTGAGAAAGCAAAGAAACAGGGGTTTGTTTACCCAAATTTCATCTTTCTCTCCTGTGTGACATACAACTTGACATTAATTTTGTATAGCCTTTCCCTGGCAGTCGATGTCGTAGTGGTGGATCTGGTGCCGATCTTAGATGTCCAAGAAATTCCTTCAACTATCGATTCGTATTTTCCAAAATTTCTCCCTCTTCGTATTTCTACTTATTCCAAATCTGACAGTTACTTTCATCTCAAATGAACTAGAAATAGTCATCAAAAAATTATCCAACTGTCCATCCGACACCATCTCTTCGAGAGTACAGTACCATTCGTTACAAGTAAGTTATTCACCCTTGAACAAATCTAAAATAGGACTAGGCATCCGCAGTCCGCACCCTTCTCGTCATCAAACCACACTTCCTAAAGATGTGTTCTTGATATTCCTTAAATTGCATAAATGACATTCTATCACATTTACGTGGTATTCGATCCACAATGTTACCTCCTGTCACAAGTACATAGTTAAACTTTTCTCCTTAAATTTTTAGTAGAGTTATTAATAGTGCATCCCACAAATTATTAAAAGCTCAAAGTCACGTTAATAAAGAAAAAGATGGTTGCAAAAGTTGATCATTGAATTAACATGAAAAGTCTAAAATACCAATAAAACACTGAAGCCCTCATTTTCGATGGCAAAACAGAAATTGGCACTAATCCAATCTAAACTCTATTTTTTTATACAAACCTTGTTTGTTTGGACTGTTTTGACTGTTTCCCCACAACATAGCTTTTAGTGTCCAAGTAAAAGAAATAAATTTAAGTTTTAGTTTCTAGAAGTTTAAGGAACACTGAGTACTGAGTAGATCCCACACACTGTTTGCAGTTTTTTAAATTCTTAGATAAGTAGATAACTTCAAAACGAACAACCCTTATTTTAACTTTGAGGAGAAGTGAAACCTGAAGTTTATCATATACAATCCGGACAAACTCAATTCAAGATCACAAAGCAACTGTTCAATACTTTCTATATCTCAACGTTCACTCAACCAGTCAGTCAACAACTCCACATCATTTGATCCATTAACATAACTCAATAACTTCAGGATACTGAAGCTATATCACTACACATGACATGCTGAGTAGTTACTGTGTTGATCATTTTCCGCTATGCAGAGAGATTACTTAAAGAAGAGGATATTAGGACCTGGGCTCCGAATACAGCTTCAAGAAGGAGACAGAAGGGTTTCTTCCTTAGCAACGGCAGCAATCAATCTCCACTTGCGCAACCCTTGCAGCCACAGTGTACACATTCAACAGCCTGCTCGTCCCTCAGATTTTGAGGAACTCTGCACACACAAGTCGTGCCAAAGTTGTGATCCCTCGTCTGCATGCATCGGAGGCAGCACAGTCGTTCATATCCTGGCTGCAATTCCAAACAACAGAGTTCTGTTATCAATTATGAACCATTGCCCAGTAGGAAAGAAAAAAGTAAACTTAGTCAAGTGCAAGTCCAAGTATAAACATGAGCCTTCTTAAACACGAAAATATTGTCACAGGTGCTGAAGCAGCACCCCTTGTTCAAAATGTGGAGAACAGCTTAATCATTCAAGAAACCAAGCTTATAATGACATGAGCTTTACTAGAATCCCCAGAGTGGAAAAGCCTTGATGCACAAATTAAGGTGATTCATGGAAAGCACATACCTTTTTCCATTTGGCGATAAGGTTCTTGTCCCCATAGCCTTGGTCCAAGCAGAACTCAAAGAGCTCCTTGGATATCTCATTCTTGTTGTAGTAGAGGTCGAAAATGTATCGGCTTCTCTGATGGGAAACCTTGAAAATAGGCCACAGAGTTTCGCACTTCCTCTTCCCATCGTGAGGATCAGTTTCCGCTGCCAAAATGTCAAGAGGATGATTCATTAGCCGCCATGTTAAAACAACAACTAAAAGAGATCGAAAGACAAGCATAAATGAAAGGGAGTGGGATTGAAGGGAAAGAGTAAAACGATCAACAAACCTTCCTTCATCTTGGCATCTAGCTCACGAAGGGTGGGCTCAATCAACTCCCATCCATCAGGATATTGCGTACGGTTTGTCCTCACCTTTGGCATCGCTCTACCTCACTGCAGTTGGGGCAATGCAAAAAGCAAGTACATTCACTGCCCTCAAACCAAGTTCATCCCACCAACTAGTACAAATTAATAAAGGAAAACAGTAACTGAAACGCCAGTCCAGAATTCCTCAATAGATACGATGGCTCGATCTCGTAACAGCAACTTTGCATAGTTCATTGTGCAGAGCTCCACCAAGCGAGTACAACTAAAGAGTATGCAACCCTAGAAACAGATAGAGCGAACAAATCCTTAGATGGTCGAACAACCGCCACTTATTCGAATTTTCCCAAGAGTGCAATAATGCATTTCTCAAGCTCCAAAAACGGCCGCCTGTCTATTGGTCACCATTTAACCTAGCGACATCCAGGATGCAGATATTACCCGATTATGCTATATGAACCGAGTAAGGAAACCTCCTATACAGAAGAAGCCGTAATACTCTAATATCAAGCGGAATCAACAATCAACATTTTCTTCTACTTGTTCTCTTTGTACCGCCATATCAAAGATCCGAACAGTGTAAAGGTCTTGAGCAGACTAGGAGCGAGAATAAGTGGAATGGCGGGAGATGGAGGTTGAGAATCACATACCAGTGAACACTGGGGCGGTGAATGAAATGAGCGGTAGTGAGCGCGGCGGAAACGAAGCCCTAACAGATGGCGATGATTCTTCTTCACTGAAACTTATGCGGGTGCAGCAGGAGAGGAGCGCTTTCCTTCCGCGCAGCAAAACTTCGCTTCGTTTCAGCGAGTGACAGTCGATTCTTCCTTTTTGTTCAGGAAGGGGGAAATGACTAATGAGGGTGAATTACCAATTTACCATGTGACCACTTAATTTAGAGGTTGATAAACATTAGTCATCGTACCCAAATTTCAATCAATAAGTTAAATTATTGGTTAATCACTCCTTCAACATCTAGTTGTTTGTGATATCGTATCATACCGACCAGCTGTATCAGTGCACGAGTCAGTATGATTTATCGTCCATACTCGTTAGTATTTAGTATCCATCAACAAATAGTCGACGAAGCATAACCTAAAAACAAAGGCAATAGATCACAAGAGCCAAGATACCAACTGAAGCACCAACACCATCACTAGCAAAGAGCATTGGAACTTACAAGTAGTAACCGAAGAGTGCAAGCAAAAAGATGGCAACTTTATATGATCCCAAAATAACATAATGGCATCAAGAGGGGAAGAAATTGGGAAAACAATGCAATCAAGAGAGAAGAGCTTTCAACTTCTGGAATGGTGGTAGTAGCTACATGACTGACTGTTGTTATTATTAAGTAGGGTGGTACTAAACAAGAAATTCAAAAGCCAGCAGTCTGTGTTGACATGCCAAAAGTAAAATAGTTGTCCTCAAGAATGAGAAAAGAACACACTGCCTCTTCATTCTTTCTTTCCGATCCCATGAGACATGTTGTAGATTCCACGTCCCTGAAAAAACACAGCAGCACAAACGAGTTGGTTGCTATGTTTTGTAGGCATACGACTAACTAACGAAGTTCAGGTTAACTGCAGAAAGTAAAATGGACTCACAATAAGAAACAGAGAGCTGGCGGCCAATGCTATGGGGATAGCAACAGAGGTGACCTTGTCAAAAGGGCCTTTCAAGTAAGTATGCTTGTGGATGTTCTGGAAATACCTCTGCTTCTCAAGAAGCTTCTCCCTTGGTCTGAAAGGTGATTCTGCTTCAACCATTCTGCATTTCAAGTTAGAAGGTAAGTAAACTCAATATGCACATGAAGTTACATTGCATTCCATGATGGGAAAAAGAACAAACATAGCTAACAAAAAACTGAACTGACACAAGTAGATCAATAGCGCAAAACGTTATTCAAGCTTCAACGATAGAGTAAACAGGGATGATAGTGACAAAAAGGCAACAATTTAATAGTTAGATAACTACAGAAACCAATACCAGGGCAGTCGTCAAACACGAAACTGACACACCGTGCAGCCATTGCATACACACGCAAACTGGCTGCCCAAATCTCTGCAATTTCTGGCATCTATGCAGCACTGAGCATTAAAAAATATGATAATCCCTGGTCCTAAAGAAACACATTGTGCTCAATGGCATCATCTGTGGCACATCTCTTCCCAATTCGCATCAAAGCAAGTGGAATCACCATCCATTTCAAACACCTGTCTGACCCAAAAGGGACTGGAATGGCTCCAAATGAAAAATTCGGGAGATTAACACGAGATACAATTGACTTCTCGGCACCCAAATAAAAAAGAACAAGACTTTTGCCGCAAAGTTCCCATACCCTTTTCGATTTTAGTAATTCAGCCACCTAAAACACTAGGGGATAAATACGTTCAAACAAAGATCCAATCACGATGCGAACAATTCAACAAGTACCAGTCGATTCAATCAACAAACGACAACTGAATCACAGACAGTAATCTTCCGTTCCCGGACATCACATCCACAAAACAAACACTGAAAACATCATCGAGAGTAACCCTAAATCTAAACAAGAACTAGATAAAAGAAAAAGGATTTGATTGAGCAGTCGAGAACGGCGTGGGCAGAATTCAATAGACTTACTTGGCGCTAGGGCTGCGAAGGGAACCGGAGGTCGCAGTGGATCGGCGAGGAAGCTGATTGAGAAGCGCGACGGAATTCACAGGCGAACAAATGAAGATGCCGAGAAGAGTCGGAGATGCGATAGAACCCCTACACAGCTATGTGGGAAAGGGGGGAAGAAGAAGTCAGCAACTGGCTAAAGCAATTGGGCTGGGACCATGAAACTCGGGCAGACGGCCCATGTTTTCGGCCCACTACTCTGTTACGCCATGGGCTTTCGCTCGCTGATGCTTTCGTCCGGCTAATAGTACGCTGCGTTTAGTTTCCTAGAGCTTCCATCTTCTGCGTTGGTTGGCTCTTGGCTGGCTCTCTGCTCTCGGCGTGAACGGGAACTCTTTCGCCTTGACTGTCGAGCTCTGGCGGCAATGGCGGAAGAGTCTTGGTAGCCAATTTTTTTTACTGTTTCCATTCTTTTCATCTCTCGTTTAACTGATTCTCGGCAACCATGCGCTCCAAGGACAAAATCGCATATTTTTATGATGGTATGGTGCTTTCTTCCTTGCTCTTTCCTTCCCGTTTCTTTCTGCTGCCGATGGGTAATGATTCAAAGCTATATAGGCGAAATACTGGAGGGTAGGAACTGTTTCCAATTAGCTATGTCGTAAGCCGAATCGTTTGGAGAAAACAGTTTGTTCATGGTAGTTCTGGGAACCCTCTAAAACCCTCCTTGTTAGGATGTCTCTAGCTAGGTTCGGAAGAACTGGTTTTGATTGTTGGACTCATTAGGGATATGGAGGTTTTGAAGTTTTGCACCAGCAAGATTGTAACTTTTGGATTTTGGTGAGATTGGCTCTAAATGGTTTGATCAAGTAGTGTGCAAATTTTTATGGTGTTGAGGTATTTGTGATGTTTTCTTTGTCTAAACAATTCTGATCTTTTGTTATCGACGTTGCAGGGGACGTGGGTAGTGTTTACTTTGGACCAAACCATCCCATGAAACCGCACAGGCTGTGTATGACCCACCATCTTGTTCTTTCTTATGACCTTCACAAGAAGATGGAGATTTATGTTAGTCTTTAGTGTTTGCTGTATATGATTTCCTTTTCCTTTTTACTTCTAACGACAGTGATGAAACTTTTGGATTACTCTTATTATGTGTTGTCTGGTGCAGAGGCCTCACAAGGCATACCCCAGTGAGCTGGCTCAGTTCCATTCCGAGGATTATGTTGAATTTCTACATCGGATTAGACCTGATACGCAGAACTCGTTCAGAACTGAATTAGCTAGATGTATGTCTTACCCCCGAAATGAGTTAGACTCAATTACGTGCTTTCGTGCCTACTTTTTTATTGTGCTGCATTCTGAAAGTGTGCGACGTTATTGATTCTGGTTGATTTTGCCAATGGAAAATGCCTTGATGTATTTTAAGTGTTTCAAAGCTGTGAAGTAAATATGTAAGTGAATCAATTGTGGCAGACTTGTAACTTTCATTTGGATACAGCCTGCATTTCAATGATTTGAAATACTGCATTTCATAATTGTTAGTCTGGTTACCTGTTTCTATTCTTGCTCATATGTCCACTTGTACTTCGCCCAGATGAAGCAACTTATGATTGAGAGCATTCTTTGATAAAAATACTCTCTGTTTAATGATATTTGCTTCATGGCTTCTTTTTTTCCAGTTAATCTTGGAGAAGATTGCCCTGTTTTCGAAAATCTGTTTGAATTTTGTCAAATTTATACTGGAGGAACTATAGGTAAGTCGAAAGCAAGCTGACTTTTTAACTTGTACTTTTGTCATATTCATTATTGATAACTGGAGCTCTCAACACTGTTAACAGATGCGGCTCGCAGATTGAATAACCAACTATGCGATGTTGCTATCAATTGGGCTGGTGGATTACATCATGCCAAAAAATGTGAGGCGTCTGGATTTTGTTACATCAACGACTTGGTCCTAGGGATCTTAGAGCTTCTTAAACATCATGCTCGGGTTCTGTACATAGACATAGATGTTCATCATGGAGATGGTGTAGAGGAGGCCTTTTATTTCACGGACAGGTAAGTCGCCTTCTTTTGTTACAAATTAGGAGAAGAATGGATAATGGGAAATTAAAGTTTCCTTTGTTTTCTACGATATATTTTTCATCAAAAAAATGTAAGCTGCGTCGCTTGCTCAGTCTCGGCGGATTTAATAGTTTTCCCTCCTTTTCTTGGTTTTCGGGATATACTGTTTGTTAAAATTATATATCTTTATCCTGGTTAATCTATTAGCATTCACTTGCTTGTTTGAAGTCGTGCCTGATTAATAAAGATATGTATGTATGGCTGGCATCTAACCAAAGCTTGGTAGAGTAAGGCTTCGGACAGGTTAATGTTTCAAGAAATGTACTGTTTGATCGACATTTATCTTCCTAGATTCTCCATTCCTTGCTTTATTCATGTAGCAAATTCATTTAACCATTCAGCGATCTCATTAACCAGATAAGCATGTCATGGCACATGATAGAGATATACTTATTTTGGGGCTTTGCTTTCAGCTTAAATACTGAACTTCAACAAAAAGCCTGTTATTAGCATCAACTCTGATTTAGTGGGACACATTCAACTGGCAGGGTGATGACAGTCAGTTTTCACAAGTTTGGGGATTTGTTCTTCCCTGGAACTGGTGACGTTAAGGTGATTACTCTGTCCTTTATAACTATTTACTATCTCTTTTGGCCAAATTTGTTAAAGTGTTTCCTCGTGAAGACGCTTTTTTATGGAAGTTCTAAACTTTTGACTTGCAAGTTCAAAATATGAAGTGTTTATGGTTACTCTTTAAGAAGTTGAAAAGGCTCTTTATCTACTTGTTTTAAATCGGCAATGTATGTTAGGATTTGTGGGTGTCTTGTACTTTTATTGTAAGCCGTTGTGCTAATTGCTATAGAAAGAGTTGCCATATATACTTTGGAATTATATGTATGAAACCCAATATGATTCTAGTATTCACTACTCTTGATCAAATTTAAAGTGCAATGAATATTCACATTGGCCCTATTGAAGGAAATAGGAGAAAGAGAAGGGAAGTTCTATGCCATCAATGTTCCACTCAAAGATGGAATAGATGACACAAGCTTCACCCGCCTTTTTAAAACTGTAAGTTACTGGCTAAGCTACCTATTTCAGGCCTTGTTATTGCTTGCTTATTCGCCTCGATGATTAATGTTTGTGCCTGGTTGCTCCGTTACTAGATAATATCAAAGGTCATAGAAATCTATCAACCAAGTGCTATAGTTCTTCAATGTGGAGCAGATTCGTTAGCTGGGGACCGCTTAGGCTGTTTTAATCTCTCGATTGATGGTAAACGTCTTCCCCTTGCGGATTTATCCATGCCCTTCCATTTATAGCAACCATGGAAGCATGAAAAGCTGTTTATGTGTTTATTATCTAGCTGTCTTACTTGAACAGTTTGTGACTTTTTTAAGGCTTAGACTGGTGCCGAAAGTTACTGTTGTCTGTTATCATGATATGCATTGCAGGTCATGCTGAATGTGTCAAGTTTGTCAAGAAATTCAACCTTCCTTTACTGGTATGTTCTTATCACAGTAGAATGGACTCCCTGCATTGCAGCTATTTCATATGAAAATAACATACCTTCTGGAACTATGTCATGTTCATGCAGGTTACTGGAGGCGGAGGATATACAAAGGAGAATGTAGCTCGGTGTTGGACAGTTGAAACAGGGGTTCTGTTGGATACTGAACTACCCAATAGTATGCATTTATAATCTTCGGTATTGTCTTGACATGATGGCTTGGATTTGAATATGTGTTCACAATATGTTTTGAAATTCTCCTTGCAGAGATTCCTCAAAATGAGTACTTGGAATATTTTGCCCCTGACTATTCGCTGAAGATTCCAAGTAGACTCATAGTATGGATTTGCTTATCACTTGCTTCAATTAAAAATAGAAGTTTGTTAACTTGCTCTTCTATTAATACTGTCTTCATCTACTTACTCTGTCTTCTTCTACCATGACTGATGAGAGCAGGAGAATTTTAACAGCAAATCTTATCTTAGCACCATTAAAGTGCAAGTAATGGAGAATTTGCGGCACATACAACACGCTCCAAGTGTGCAGATGCAAGAGGTGGGGACTCTTCTCTCTATATTCAGCAAAAGTAGTGTTCAATATAAATCCTTGCTTGTTTGGTCTTGTATGCAATTCAGATCAAGTCTGTAGGATTTTGGCTAACTGCTTGCACTAAGTGGAAGGAGCCAATTTGCACCATTCTAGTAGAGTGCAAAATTTGAGCTTGATAATCAGCTTTGAGTATGTGATAGTAGTACGTTCCCTGTTCATTTTATGTTTCTTTAAATATCCTAACGAGAATGAGTTCTGCAGGTTCCACCCGACTTTTATATCCCCGACTTTGACGAAGATGAGCAGAACCCAGATGAACGAATGCATCGTAAGTAGCATTCTCTGATAGAATGTTCTTCCTCTGTACTTCTGTGTTTCCATCACCTTTTCTCACAATAGGTTTCCATTTTCCCTCCACTTTAGAGCATACACAAGACAAGGAAATCCAGAGGGATGATGAGTACTACAACGGAGACAATGACAACGATCACCCGGCTGGATCATGAAGCGCATTCGGACGGGATTCAGTGACTGTGGGTCTGTAGCTATTTGTTCAGAAGATTACTACTCCCTGCCCTGATTTAGGGGTTGACTGAACTCATCAAACTTAAACTTTGCATATCTTGTATTGTATGTAGCATATCATGCCATGCTTTTGTAACTCCGCCTGGGGAATGCTCTATTTATGAAATGCAAGGATTAGTGGATGATACCCGTTCCGTCTAGTGGATAGTGGTAATCCTTGAACTAGTTGCAGGTTCGAATTCATTAAGCCGTATGTAATCTCAAAAAAAGGAAATTTTCTCTCTATATTGGCGATTAGGATTTGGAAAGCGTCCAGCAGAGTGTTTTTTCCCCTCAAAATTTCCTCCTGCTACCGTGCAAATTTTGGAGAACGGTGGGTTGTTTATTGGGAAGGACAATTTCCCCAATTTCCCTCCTTGACTTTCGTTCCCCCTGTTCTCTTCCCTTCCAGAAAAGAGAGGGTAAATGGAAAAGATGGCAAAGTCGCCGCCTTTGGACTCTTTCCTACCCACAAATTCCTATCATTGAGACCTGCAGCGGACTGTTTGATTGCGCGCGCAGCGTAACTGCGAAGGAAAGCAAACTGAAAAGGTTTTGAGATTGGACGGCTGTTCCCTCTCTGACGTCTTCCCGCGAAACCGAACGGAGTAACGGTATACCCAAAAAAAGGTTGGAGCAGGAAACTCCTCTGTCCTCTCAGTTTTCTTCTTCAGTTCTTTGTCGATACTTCCACCAAACACATGGCTGGTATCTGTGGATAATATATTTGTAGTCACTGCACTCTTTTCTTTTTCCTTTTCTCCTTCTCCTACCAACCCTGATTGGTTCCTCAATTCGTTTCTTTCCTCGGTTCCTGTTAATGAAGGGATAGGTTGAATTTCCACCCTTCACTCACAGGGAATCTGTTGATCCAATCTGTGTAGAGCTTGTCGTTCTGAAGCCATTAGATTTTGTGGGGTTTTGTAGTTGTGGTGTGTGTCCGATTGCGATTACACCTCCCTGGTTTTCATTGAATTCTTTGAATTGAGGATTATGATCTCTCTGTAGGTTTCATGAAACTGTGAAGTTGGGGACTTTTTATATTAGCTACAAGGAATCCAACAATGGCTACTGCTGAAGCGATTTTCCGAACTGGGTTGCCGCGGCTTCGTCATTTCGATCCTTCGTTTAATTGTTCAAGCTCGCTCCTTTCTGTAAATCCCGCCGATGGTCGCTCCAGAAGCAGGAGGAATCATGGTTCCAAAGCTTTAGTAAAATGCCCTGCCAAGGTTCACGCACGAGGAGGGAACACTGATGCCCTTTCCTTTGGGAGGATCAATAAGTTCGCTGGAAGACAGGATTCTAGCAGATGCAAATGCCAGCAGCAGTCGGAAACTTTTGGCAGCGATGGTGGTAGTGGAGGGATGTCAATTCCTGTGTTTGACGTTAATGGTGGTCAGGAGTTTGCACTGCAGCAGCAATTAAAACCAGAAAATGGAAACGTTGTGGTAGGGGGAAATGGTGCATTGATGGATGGAAATGGAACAGCTACAACTAATACAGATGGCCAACCGAAGGGTTCTTCTTCGAATCCAATTGAGGATGAAGCTTGGGACTTGCTTCGTGCCTCTGTTGTTTACTACTGTGGTAACCCTATTGGAACCATTGCTGCTAATGACCCAAACAGTAGTACTGTATTGAACTACGATCAAGTCTTTATTCGCGACTTCATTCCTTCTGGAATTGCGTTCCTTTTGAAAGGGGAGTATGATATCGTGAAGAACTTCATTCTTTACACTCTTCAATTACAGGTAATGTAGGATTGATGTTCTCGGTGTTCTCTTATGTATCCTCCATACTGCAATCTTTTTTAACATGCTAGTTTACTGAATGTTGGTAGAGTTGGGAGAAAACCATGGATTGTTATAGCCCTGGTCAAGGGCTAATGCCAGCTAGTTTCAAGGTTCGAACTGTTCCTCTTGATGGTGATGAGGATGCCAGTGAAGAAGTCTTAGATCCGGATTTTGGTGAAGCTGCAATTGGTCGTGTTGCACCAGTTGACTCTGGTAAGAGATGAATGGCTGTTAAAATCTTGTGACCACAACAATTTTCTTTTCTCTTATTATATGTGTTGCTTGCTTAGCAAGTTGGTAATCTTTTATGGGAATATGTTCTTGTTCAGGATTATGGTGGATTATACTCTTGCGAGCTTATGGAAAATGCTCGGGCGATCTCTCGATGCAAGAGAGAGTGGATGTACAAACTGGGATCAAAATGATTTTGAAACTGTGTCTTGCCGATGGCTTTGATATGTTCCCAACTTTGTTGGTCACGGATGGTTCTTGTATGATTGATCGGCGCATGGGAATTCATGGGCATCCTTTAGAGATTCAGGTTAATACTCATTATATTGGTGTTAATTGTCTCAATTGCATACTATCATGTGTGATGCATTTGCTAAAACATGGTTTGGTCTAGTGAATTTATGCATGAAATTGTCGCAGAAAGTGAAAAAGAAGATATATGAGACACCACTTTCTAGAGTGCGTTCCTTGTTTCCGTATTTCCTACTCCTAAGTATTCAAGATTGCATCATTTTGATGCATTTGAGATTGCGTGTGCAATTTTCCAAATACACTAAAAAATGCTTGTGCTGATAAAAGGCTCTTTTGCAGGCCCTCTTTTATTCAGCTCTACTATGTGCACGTGAGATGCTTGCTCCAGAGGATGGTACATCTGATCTCATTAGGGTCCTCAACAACCGTCTGGTAGCCTTGTCATTCCACATCAGAGAATATTACTGGATTGACATGAGAAAACTGAATGAAATATACCGTTACAAAACCGAGGAGTACTCTTATGATGCGGTCAATAAGTTCAACATCTACCCAGATCAGATTCCTCCCTGGTTGGTTGAGTTCATGCCCAGTAAAGGAGGCTACTTGATTGGAAACCTGCAGCCTGCTCACATGGACTTCCGCTTCTTCTCTCTGGGGAACTTGTGGTCCATAGTGAGTAGTCTTGCAACCGTGGAGCAGTCTCATGCTATATTGGATCTGTTTGAATCGAAATGGGAAGATTTAGTGGCTGAGATGCCTTTCAAAATCTGCTACCCTGCTCTTGAAGCCCAAGAATGGAGGATCATCACGGGCAGTGATCCAAAGAACACGTATTGGGATCTCTTACCTTGATCCTTTTTAGGTCATTAGTAATCTGTGATTGTGTTTGAAGGTGAAGATGGTTCTAATCATGCCCCTCTTTGTTGTTATTGTATTGGTTGCAGACCCTGGTCTTACCATAATGGTGGTTCTTGGCCAACTTTGCTTTGGCAGGTAACTTTCTTGTTTTTATTCTAACAAGTTCAGTGGCCAATTTTGCTAGTGATCCAGTGACCATTTATGCGTAATAGTCTAATACAGTTCTTATTATATACTTCTGACTTGTCTATTGGGGGCATTCATTCTTCAGCTCACTGTGGCAAGCATCAAGATGAACAGACCGGAGATCGCAGAAAGGGCAGTTGAGCTTGTCGAGAAGCGGATCTCCAGAGACAAATGGCCGGAATACTACGATACCAAGCGAGGGAGATTCATCGGAAAGCAGTCGAGGCTGTTCCAAACGTGGTCGATTGCAGGGTACCTGGTATCGAAGCAGCTTCTTGCCAACCCTGATTCAGCAAAGATTCTGGTGAACGACGAGGATTCTGAGCTCGTGAATGCCTTGTCTTGCATGATCGGTGCCAACCCTAGGAAGCAGCGTGGCAGGAAAGCATTCAAGCAGCCGTTCATTGTGTGAACGAATGCCTATAGCTAGGTAGTGGATTTGTAACAGGAGGATCCAGTTTGTCATGTTTAACTGATCATGAATCTGGGGAGAGTTCGTTATGTCATTAGGTTGGTTTTAAAAGGTTGTATTGTTTCAACCCGGTGTAGGTTACTGACTGTAAATATTCTGCATTCCTTTTGGGATAGGATAGTTATGAGTTTGGTTATAATACTACTGTAAATTTGCCAAATTCATGTGTTGAAGAAGTAAATTTACAGCCTGTGATATGCTTATAAACTTTCCCGGGACTAATCTTTTGATTATGATATGCTTAGGAGTTGGGAACTTATTTATTTACTATGCTTAGGTTAGACACATTGGCAGCATCGCACCATTCACTAAAGCTCAGACAAGTTTATTAATCATCTAGTGGAAGATTATAGTTGGTCTGAAATTAGGAAGAAACTGTCAATGGACGAGAAAAGATAGAACAAGCAAAAATCATGAATTGAAGAGCGCGAATAGTAAAACTTCAATACGAAACTGAGCCGGTTAGACTAGCTCCAACCCATGGTGTCAAAAAGCTATAAAGCCATATTTGGCTTTTTTTCTTCCTCCAACCCACAAAAAAATGGGAAGCTAAAAATGGGTATTGGATTTTTTGAAGGGATATTTGGCTGGATTTTGGGACGGGGAGGGGAATTTGGCTGCCAAAAAGTGCCCTACACGTCAGCCGAAAAGCGACCTGCTGCCCCCCTTTTTTGTTTTTTTTTTTCTTTTAACTTTTTTGGTTGGGAAGTTGTTTTGGGAATTTGTTTTGGAGTTTTTTTTTCTCTATTCTCATTGGTTGTTTGTAATTCAATTTGAAACATAAATTTGTTTTGGAGTTTTTTTTCTCTATTCTCATTCGAAGTTTTAACGGTAATATTTTAACGACTAATTTTTGGGGAAAAATTTATCTCATAATTTAAAAAATTTACATCGAAAAATTTGTATTCAAAACTAATAACGAGCTATGAAAAAATTAAAGTGAAATATAAAAATTAGAGGTCAAATAAGTATGGTTTATTGAAATAAATTGAAAAAGGAAAATGAGAAGCTAAATTTAGCTTTTTATAGGGTTGGAGTGAAAATTGGGTTTGGGGAGCTAAAAAGCCATATTTGGCCATTTGGGGAGCTAAATTCCCCTTTATGGGTTGGAGTTAGTCTTAGGTAGGAAAAAAAATTTGGACCATTTCTCGATTTATGCGTGTCATCCTTGCGCAGGGGCCATGCTAATCTTCTCTGTATCGTTCCAATTTTATCGGATGTCCCCGAAGGGACAGCACAGTAAGTAAAACTTGAGTTATATAAACATTGGTTGAATGCCATAGTTAGGCGATGTGGTAGAAGTGCATGAGGGTGAGGGAGGATCATAGCAGTTGGGCCTTGTGTTTCAAAAGCCCACAACGGAAATCGTATAGCAAAAGTGTAGCTAACTAAAGAATCTATCCACAATCGATATAGGCCTCGGCCCTCGAATCTACGAAAGCTCATACGGATGACATCATGACAACAAAGAAGTTCGCAAATTCGGGTCTGAAAATTTTTATCAAAGTTATAAAACACAAAAAAAAACAAAAACAAGTTACTAACTAAAAATTTTCAAGCATGGTATAGCTAAGTAGAAAATCCGAAACAAAAAAAATCATAAATTTTGAAATAAATAATACAAATGATCAGGCATTCAGTTGGTTTTTTTTATAAGTGAGTTTTAAGTTCAAATTTAAAACATTGTTTAAGCTTTTTATAGAGTATGTATGGTTTAATATTTACGAATTCCAAAGGCAGCCCAAAGATATAATTAGCTAGAAGGGAACCCTTGGGGACAGGAAGTTTACATAACCTCCTCTATGGTAGGTCGAGTCCAGGTCAAGTATTTTATTTTTGGGCTTCGTTCATTACAAGTTGGCCATACGGGTATGTATTTAAAGAAAAACATTTGAAATATTGATTTTTTTCATTAAGATCAAGAAACAGAACTATAATATGATAAAGGCTTAATACACTCGCATAGCCATAACTATTCGAGTTGTGACAACAATAGCCACATTTTAAAAAATACACAGATCTAGCCATTCCATCCATAAAATTAACGGCAAAGTAACGGATGTTGACTGGATAGAAGGTTATTGGCTAAGTTGGAATTTTTCGGCCACGTAACATGCCAGGTGGATTATGGAAATCATTATTTAAAATTAAAAAATAAAAAACGAAACAAAAACTCACTTTACCTTTTTCGATCGTCACTTTACCAATTACCATTTCCATCAACCTTTTCACCCACCCACCCGATATCCTCTCTTCTCCTTCTCCTTCTACAGACGAACCTCCACCAGTTCTACCGATCAACGGCGACGGCGATGGTGGATTGAGAAGCAGAACCCACCCCTCAATTCACCCACCTATCTCGTTCGTTGTTCCGCCCCTTCATCTCTGTTCGAGCGTCGACTGTGGCATGCATCATCCGGGCTGGCGAGTAGAGAACTGAAGCATCGCACCCCTCGACCAGTTGCAACGACGGCAACGAACCCTAATCCACTCCTGAATCAGGCGAAGAAGGCAACATCAAACCCGACCAACCCAGTATTACGAGGCGGCTTGAATCCGAAAAACCCTAACCCTAATCCCATTGTCGACGCTTCAAATTTTCATCTCGTCAAGTTGTGGTGAGTTGGGTCAATCTCATGAGCTCTGGATATGTTATGAACTGTCTAATGGATTCTAAAGTGAGCATCTGGTATGCTTTTATAGGTGTAAGGAGCTTTAAAGGTTGGAAAGCAACAGAACATTTGTTGGAAGGGACCACTTTTCTGCTGTTTGTCACGAAATTGAACCTGAAGCAAAAGGTAAGAACCTCACGGTGTTGGATACAATGGTCATTGTACTATATGTTGGTTTTGAATCTATATTGTCCATTATGTTGAAATGAGTGAATTCTGCCCGAATTCTTTAATGTCAAGTTGTCTGTATGTTAGTTGTTTATTAGTGAGTAATAGACATGTTGACTGTATTTGCTTTGTTTACTAGGTTTAATGCGAACCCTAAGAAAGGTTAAGTTAAGAAATAGCAACTAATGACCTAAATGACGGTTTTTAAACAGATGGCAGATTCTTGGGACGAGAATGTAGGCGAGAATGATCCAAACCAGCCTGGCCATGGAGAACCATCACTTTCAGCAGCCTACGAGGCAGGGGCAGCTGCATCTGTTGCACGGGATATCTTCCATGTATATGACTCTGAGGATGCCCTTACTTCAGATGACGAGTACCACGAAGCTAGGACTAATCTTCGAGAATATGGGGAGACAAGGAGGAGGAAGGTGAAGGCAAGGGTGGCTGTTGATGGGGAAGAGGTGGAACAGCTGGAGGCTTTCGAAGAAGAGGATTCTGATGATGACGAAGAGGAGGGATATAGAGCTGTGAATGTAGAGGAGGTTGTAGAAGGTCCTGGTAATGAAGAGGCTTCCCACCCTAATCCTCAATCACCTCAGCAAGCAGGAGGGGAAGGCTCGCAACATTCGAGCTACAGGTTGTCTGAAGACTCTCTCCATGTAAGAGGCAACCTGTCAGATGAGGAGGGTGGTGAGCTTTATGATGATGCACCTCGATATGATCCTAAATGTGATCACAAGACACTTCAGTTTGTCTGTCGAATGAAGTTTGATGGGGCATCACAGTTTAAGGAGGCGGCTGTGAAGCATGCAGTAGCAGCTGGGGCAGGTCTAAGGTGGGTCCGGAGCAACCCTACAAGAAGGGAAGTGAAGTGCAAGGATGTTAATTGCAAGTGGAAGTTGTATGCTAGCTGGTTTAGGAAAGATAAGTGCTTTATGATAAGGAAGGTTGGGCTACCTCACTCTTGTTCAAGGTCCCTTCGGGTTAATCAAGTAACAGCAAACTGGATAGCGAGAGACATGCTTGAAAGATTCCGAATTAAGCCTGAGTGGAGACCGGACCAGATTATGGCTGAGGTTAAATTGCAGCATAATGTGGAATTGAAGAAGAGGACTTGTTACCGGGCAAAAGTTGAAGCCATTAAGCTGTTGAGTGGTTTCTTCAAGAGGTTTTACGTCGGTTTCTCCAATCTGAAGAATGGATTTTTAGAGGGGTGTCGACCGATGTTTGGTCTGGATGGTTGTTTTCAAAAGGGCGAGGTTAAGGGAATGCTCTTGTCTGCAGTTGGAAAAGATGGGAATAATCAAATGTTCCCAATAGCATGGGCCGTAGTGGAGGGGGAAAATACTGATTCTTGGATGTGGTTTGTCCGGATCTTATCTGAAGAATTGGGGATGCTGGACGGCAGGAGGTGGACGGTCATTTCTGATCAACAGAAGGTAAAATATATACAATCTTAGTGTCTAGTTTTACTTAAAATACACTTGGATGTGGTTTGATACTAACCATGCTTATCGTTTGAGTGTAGGGATTGGTAGAAGCTATACACCAGCTTCTTCCCGAGGCTGAGCATCGCAAATGCGCGAGGCATGTTTATGCCAATTGGAAGGCGAAGAATAAAACTGATCAGATCAGAAAGTTATTCTGGACAGCCGTGTATGCAAGCAATATTGTTGCCTGGAGGAAGGCTACTTCTCAGATGGAAAGTATAGAAGGTAATGGAGATGGTCCTACACCCTATAAAGACTTTATGGATGCTGAACCTAAACGTTTCTGTCGAGCTTTCTTATCTACCATCCCTAAATGTGACTCTGTAGAGAGTAACATATGTGAGACATGGAATGGAAGTATCGTCAAGTATAGAGGCCTTAGAATTATTGACATGCTAGAGGGAATTAGGGGATATATGATGGAAAGAGTGGCTATCAAGTACAAGATGCTTGTTGATACTACTGATCTGTTATGCCCTCGAATTAGAAAACGGTTAGAGAAAGAGTATGCTAGATACTGTGTACCAAGACATGCATTGAATGATAAGTGTGAAGTGAAGATTGGAAGTGAAGGATTCATAGTTGACCTTAATACACGAGAGTGCACGTGTGGGTATTGGCAACTAAGTGGCTTGCCATGCTGTCATGCTGTCTCTGCCATCAGTCACTTGAGGAAAGAGCCAGCTGATTATGTGCATCCGGTGTACCATGCATATCATGTTTCTTTTGCATACAAGGTTGGCATGCCTTGTGTTGATGGTCGACAGGCTTGGCCTGAAGCTTCGGCATTTGATGTATACCCGCCCAAGCAGAGGGCAATGCCTGGTCGACCCAAGAAGAATAGAAGGAAGGCTGCTGTGGAGTTAGAAACAAGAGCTCAAAGAGGAGGCATTGGTGAGGAAGTTACTAGGAGAGGTTCATTGATCCGGTGCACTAAATGTCAAGGTGAAGGACACAATGCACGAGCATGTCCAGTTGCTGTTTCTGCTCAGCCGGTAGTGGTAAGTTTACTACTCACATCATAAATTAAGTATGTTAGGGTACTAAGTAAGTTTATTACTTGCTATGGATACTTTACTAATGATATGGGGTTGGCTTGCAAGGGACAAAATGCGCGGCAAAGGGGTAAAAGACCTGCTGTCCAGCAGCAAGATGGAAGTGCAAGGCAAAAAAGAACCAATCACTGCTCCAAGTGTGGGCAACCTACTCATAATGCAAGGACTTGTCCTCTAAATAGAGGTGTAGGGATACAAGTACGTGCTTGATTGGAAGTGCAATGAATGTTAAATTGATTATGAGATTATAAGTTGTCAAATGAGTTTTGTGGTCATTTCAGGATGTGATATTGAATGTGGGAGATAGAGTAACAGTTGAAAGGGAGCTACGCCAAGCAATGACTGGGGTTGGTGTTTATGTAGATGAGAATACTGGAAACCAGTATGTTAGGGTGAGTGAAAATCTGTTTGATTGTGATTTGCAGTTAAATGTAAATGGGTTGTCTCTTTATTTACTGATGTGTGGTATCTTTTTGCAGCTTAATGGAAATCGTGGGAGACAGTTTGGAGAAGGTCCTTCGGAGCCCATGCGAGTAACTCAGCCTTCAGTGGTGGATTTGCAAGGAAGTCAGCCGCCACAAACACAGCCTTAAATGTTGAATGTAATCTCGCGAGTCGCATATTTTGTTAGCCGAGGAAGTAGCTACTAACTAACATTCCCTATGGCTTTTTTGAGCGACTCATGTAAACTATAATATCCCAGGATTTTAGGTGTAGTTCAGTAGGACAGTAGGGTATCTTTGTGTTGGAAACATGTCCATCTATTATGTTGTTATGTGTTGAAACTGCTCTGAACAATGTATGTTTGATTGTGAAACAGACATGTTTATTATGCTGTTATGTAACGAAACAAGGCAAGTTTGGTTAGTTGTGGATGTTTGTTATGTTTTGAAACAGATGCTTTGTTTACTAGGACATCACTTTCAACATTAAACCAACATTACACAAGCATATATTTCACAAGTTCATACATCAAATACTACCACCTTGCCTCCACAGAATGACAACGAAGAAGGCATTCACAAACAACAGAACACACAACATATATTTCATTACACGAATTTCATCATGCACACTACGAGCTTCAGCTAATCTAACTTCATGAACTTGTATCATGTTTCGCAACTCTTCTGCCATCACGTTTCTTTCCCTCTTCCTCCTCTCTGCCTTGCCCTCGGCCAGCCGTAAACTCTCCTCCAACCTAAGCATCGAACTGTCCATCTCATTAATTCGTGCCTCTGATTCACCCTCATTAGCATCCACCCACCTAAAAAATTTGCAATTTTTTCTTGGTTCCTGCCACAACTCCAACACTTAGCTAACAACGATATAAAAATAATCCATGTGCAATCGAAATCAGACACAACTCACCATCCAATAAGAACAACCATAAAATTGCCTTCCTGGGTTCCCCTCAGTCCCCGAAATTTTTTTCACAGCTGGTACATTGTGCTTGCAGAGAACTGAATTGGTGCTTGCCGAACCCGAGTCGGCGCAATAGCTAACCCCATCCCTCCGAGGAGTCCTCTGTGACATGATTCAGCTGAGAGAGGCGTCGGCAACAAGAGGACTCGAAAGATTGAGTGGTTTGGAGGGAGGGGGGGGGGGAACGAGACGGTGGCGGGGGTTTCAGGAAGAGGCGACGACGCATGGGAGGGAGGGGGAACGAGACGGTGGCGGGGGTTTCAGGACGAGGCGACGACGCGGGGGAGGGAGGGGGGGTTGGGGTTTGGGAGTGCGACGGCGCGGGGGAGGGAGGGGGGGTTGGGGTTTGGGAGTGCGACGGCGGTGGGGTTTCGGGTGGAAACCTAAATGCAGAAGAGAATGGGGATTTGGACGTAGAGAGACGACGATGATGAAAGAGTAAATAAGGTAATTTTTTTTTATTTCTCGAAGTGGTAATGATCAAGTCCACGTCACCGCTGATGTGGGCAAGGTGAGTCTACTTGGCGATGACATGTCGTCCAGGTGGAGGCCACGTAGGTGACACAAGGACGTTACTGACGGCGCGTCTAACGACGTTAAATTTTTTTACGAAAATGGCTAAAGTTGACAACATAGTTTCGAAAAGGTGGCTACATTTGGAATTTTTTCAAAATGTGGCTATTATTGTCACAACCCGAGTTTTTTTGGCTATACAAGTGTATTTTGCCTATGATAAATGTAGTTAACTTATCAACGAAATTGAGGTTCTCGTCTATTTATAACTTTATAATATCTAAAATGGCGTAGTAGAAGTAAAATCCTAAGCAATTTCAGTAAAATTACATGTAATTTGGATAAAAACGAGTCGAGAACAAGGAGAGGATCCATGCCCAGCCCCCGCCTCATAGCGGGTTAAACATGTCGGATTTATTGAGTCATGTTGAAATTGTCATCCCTAATAGTGAATTGGTGATTGATTAAAATATGACAATAGCACGTCATGAGAGGAAGACTCAACAGACCCGATAGTTCCAAACATATTGACTGCTAGAAAGAAATTGCATTTCTGTTGGATGTAATATGAAAATGATGTTAGAGCAACCAACTATGTTATCATGAAGGATATTCTGTATATTATATCATACTTATTGAAGAGAAAAAGAATGTTCATATCCCAAGAGATTAAAAAGTTACAAGGAATATAACTACAACAAGGAGTCAATGACAAAGAATCATTGGGGGGCTAAGGAATATAACTGTAACTAGATTTGGTTATATATTCTTAACTTTGACAGATTACAACAAAGGGCATTTGGTCTAGTGGTATGATTCTCGCTTAGGGTGCGAGAGGTCCCGAGTTCAATTCTCGGAATGCCCCTTTTTTTTATCTCAAAAATAAAATAAAAAAATGATTCAACCATCTCTGTTCGTTCACTATCCACCAGAGGCCAGAGCTCCACGAAATCAAATCATTCACTGTTCGAACATTTGACATTAACAACTGTGCCATGTATACAACACTTTTGCACTTGGCCATTTGATAATAAAATGAGCTCAGGCAGGAGCTTAAGCTATATAGTACATGCAAACAATGCTTCTGTCCAGAGAGAAGGTAAAAGCTTCCAGCTTGTTCACGAGACTAGCTAAAGAGCAGCTTTGGTCATCCGATGAATGAGGGAGTTCAAGAACTGAATATGTGGCTGTTCTCGGCCAATATGCTGTCCAGCAACGATTCACAAGCATCTTCGAGCAGATCCAGCACCTTCAACAACCAAAATGAATAATGACATTCAGGCAAAACTAGTACTTGAGAGGCAGGCATGCAATGGATATTTAACTACCAAACCAGAAAGGTTGCCTGCAGATTAAACCCTAGAAACTTGGCTAGAGACTCTACAGAGATTTTGACTATGAGCATGTATATTTTACGATAACCAGAATGCTGCGACTGGGTATCTCTGATCGATGTGATAACAGGACATGTGAAAGATTCCAGGAGCAGCATCTAATCTCAATACATACAATACAAGGACAGTGAGAGTGAACCACTATGTTCGGATTCGAAAAGTGAAACAATAATATGTTTCATCGCAAGCTGCCAGCTCTGGCCTTCAACAGCTTCAAAATCTCATCTCATTCATTTCATTACTGACCAGACGGTTCATACTATCATATACCAGTTTGTCTCTCTCACAGCTTACCTTCTCGAAACCTTGTGCTCCACCGTAGTAAGGATCCGGGACTTCAGTCTCCTCATGCTTCTTACAGTAGGAACACATCAACTTAACCTGCAGCAGAAGCACACATGAACTTCTCTCCTTCAATGAACAACTCTACAACCCAATACAATCCACATCAATTCCTTAACCAACCTTCTTATGTGCATCCTCGGGAAGAGTTTCTCTAAACTTCCACCTCCCAAATGCCTCTAGTATATCCTCTGTGGCAGCAGCAGCAGCCATTATCAACAACTTAGATCAAACCAAGTAAACCCACAATGGGAATATAAGCCAAAGGAACTCCCACTAACCTCTATTCTGCCTGTCCATAGCAAGGATGAGATCGAACTCCACGAAATCAGAAGGTCGAATTGGCCTGGATATGGATGTTATCTCCACCCCACGCTTCTTCGAAGCAGCTCTCATTCTCGGATCCGCCGGTCCACCCTTTTCCCCACAAATTTAAAACCAGAACAAATATTCAGAAACCCAGATGATACATGATCGTAAAGATCCAACCTTTTTTCTTTTTTCATGTCTACCTCGTGGTAATTGATGGTACCGGCAGAGTCGATGTTGAACTTGGAATCGAGGCCCTTCTTGTGAACAATGTCTCTGAATACGCCCTCGGCAGCTGGGCTCCTGCAGATGTTGCCGAGGCAGACGAACACAACGGAGAAAGGCTTTGTGGTTGCGGTGGTGGGGTCCGCCGCCGGCGGAGGAGTGGAAGACGCCGCCATGGGAGGGGGTGCGAATTGGGGATGGGTACGGCGAGGATTGTGGGAGTGATGATGGAATCGGGGAATTGAGTTGGGAGTAAGTTGGGGATGGAGGGAGAGAAAGCTGGGAGCCAAGTGGTAGAATCGTAAATTTGGAGATGGGGTTGGTAATGGTGGCAACCTGATACTTGTTGTCCACCACGACTCCACTGCCTTGCTCATATTTTTGGGTCTTTCTGTTTTCCTGCCTCCTCTCGGATTATGGAGCTGTCTGTTGTGTTCTGTGCCGAAGTGGGGAGAAATTTTAGGACCAGTGTTTCCCCGAAAGGATAGGGTTGGAATTTTGTGAGTATTTTGCTATGTTACCATGCCTTAAACTTAAAGTCATCACTCATCAATCCATTAATCTTCACTTTTAACTGTTTATACCAGCGACGTCAGCTCTTCAGCCTGTACTTTAACCTCACATTACACACTGAGAACGCAGGAAGAACAAAAAGAGGTAAATCCATTACTGATATGAAGCAGAAGGAAGTTTACACTGAGGAGCCTGCAAGGAAAACCAGAATATAACTCATCTCCAAACAAACATCAGCATCACAGTCACAGACTCGCACTGAGTTTCGCTTGTGTAAACCTCCTCTCTCGAAACCTAAACTCGTGTGGAACTTGTACACATCCAAGTTCTGGAACTACATTTACACTATATTACATCCATATATTTGGAGGTATAGGTAAAGGAAAGAAAAATGTACATATACCTGTTACGGTCAAGCATCTGAAAAAAGCAAGCCATTCCTCGGATAACAGCTAGAACATATCAAACTCGCCATTCTCTTCTGCACCCTTACACTTACTGCTACTAGTTCGACCATCAGAGTAACCCTGAAGCTCTGGAGGTATAGCACAACGAATAAGAGCCCAGTTCAGGCCTTCAAAGAAAGGATGCTGTTTGATCTCCGCAGCACCTCTAGCTGAACCAAGTCGATTCTCGGGGTCTTTCACCAGAAGTCCCCTGATCAAGTCCCGTGCATGAAAACCGACGACTGGCCCACGTGGAAACTTGAGGCTTCTCGACACCACATTCGACAGCGTCTCCTCATTTCCCGATCCTTTGAAAGGAGTCCTGCCATACAACAGCTCGAAGAGGAAGATCCCGAACGTCCACCAGTCCACAGCACTGCCATGACCTTCGGATTTGATGATCTCCGGAGCGAGGTACTCGTGGGTCCCGACGAAGGAGTTTGAACGTGCGCTCGTGGGCTCCACCACCAGCTGAGGCAGTGGGGTGACCTGATGAGAGCTGAGGTCTGATTTCGAGGACTTCCGGGACCTTGTAGCAGCGACCGAGAGAAGACGAGGTGTGAAGCAGGAGACTTGCCAGGATGGGCGGAGACAGAAAGGGTCAATGCAGCTTGATTCAGAGCATGATGGGCTTGTTGAAGTCTTCTTTGGGGGATCGATATCTGGAGATGTGGATTGAAGTAAGACTGGGTTGACAGCACACCTCAGCGAGAGATCGAAATCGGAGAGCATTATATGGCCGTCTTCTCTTACTAGAACGTTTTCTGGTTTGAGATCTCTATATACTACTCCAAGCATGTGGAGGTACTCCAGGGCCAGGAGTACTTCGGCAACGAAGAACCTGAAATGTCCATTTGGCATCATCAGATTATTATGTGAAAAACTAAAGGCAAAAGTTATCATGTTCTATTGGCATTGCAAACATATGTCAGTGAAAGTGGTGATAAGATTAATGACTAGAATTTCCAAACCAAGAGCAAGAAAGCACTAGGAAACTCAACCATGAAATGGTACCTTGTTGCATGTTCAGAGAAACATCTGTCGGGTTGCTTCTGCCGAAGTACATGGAGATCTCCACCAGGACAGTACTCCATAACCAAGCAAGATAACTTTTCTGATAAAAAGTGAGCGTACAATGTCGGAAGAAACGGATGATCCAGCATCTGCAGAATCTCTCTCTCAGTTTGGGCCCTCAGCATCTTTTTCTTGCCCACCAAAAATTCATTGTCCATTACTTTGAGAGCGAATCGGGAATCAGTACCAGAAAGCTCAGCCAAATAAACAGATCCAATATCGCCTCCACCAAGCTTCTTGATTAATTTAAAATGCCTCAAAGCTAAAACTCCATCCTGCCTTTGAATCTGTCGAATGGCTTCCCATCTCAAGTCCTTTGACATATGAGGCCTGTAACCACTATGATAGGACGAGCCACTGAGACTGCTATCTACACTCATACTTGTGCTACTACTACTATATTCACCAATGCTACTACTCTTTGAATTCTGGGAAAAAGATTCACCCTTTTCTCTTGATATGGATCTCTCGTCAATTTTTGTCAATTTGGAAATAGATCTGTCACCACAACCAGAGCTGTTGCATCCCATTTTACTTGAACTCTTGTCCACGGTGCTGAAGCTGGACTCGATACTATTACTGGTGCTACCACTGGATGCCGGGGAAGCTCTGTCACCGTATTCCGTTGCACTACCAATACTAGGATCCACATTGTCGCCTACCTTGATGTCACGTGAATTGGAGCTACTGGAAGCAAATTCAGAATCTTTCTTTCCTTTCTTCTTCATAAAGCTCCTGTTCCTGAAGATTGGCTTTATAAATCTCGTAGTGTTGCAAACAGGAGAGATTCCCATTATACCGTTACTTGAACCTGAAGGTGAAGGTGAAGGAAAAGCATTAGACTGTTCTCCTGAACTTTGGATTGAGTCTGAAACAATTGTGTCGTCCACATTTTGGGCTTGCTCATTACAAGATGAAGAATCTAAAGCACTAGGGCTCTCAATTTCCAGCTTTGACACTTCGCTAACAAAGCCTGTTGGAGCTATCTCGCACTTGGAAGAATCAGCACTTTGATCAGATGACCCTGCCTTATCAATCTGTGATAGTTCAACTATATTCTGAGAACAGCTTGATGTGTCTGTTTCAGGTACAAGAGAGACTTCCACCACCTTTCCATCACCTTTGCTAGGAGTAAGACCAGATGAGTTATTGGCCTCGACTACAACAGTCCTGTATAACATTTTGCTGGATCCTGCCTCTGAAGCCCTAGCTGAACCTGTTGGCCTCGACAATCGCTTCATAGCAGCCATCTCTGATGCTTGAGATATGCATAGTCCCCGCAAAGCCTGCTTCAAACTCACCGACTCTGAGATGCCAATCCCTGATGCTTGAGGTGAACCCACTCTCATGGGTCTCTTCATGGCTTTCTTCAGCAGAGCATCTCTGCCACTGCCACCTTCATGGGATGAACCTTTAGTCCTTCGTATGTCTATTGCTTCAAAAAGACGATTGATGTCATCTTCTATCGAGTACTTGTTGGAAGTCGGAATGGAACTGTTTCCACCTTTCTCCCCCATCTTAACTTCAAGACTTAATTCTGGTGTTGATTCCACAATCTCCGAAGTGCTTGATAATCGATCCATCTTGAGCGGATTCATCAGATGCTACAAAGGGGCTGGTGGGTTCAGCAAAAATCAAATTACCCAATCTCCAAAGAAGCAGCTTGAAGACAACCTAAGATGGTAACCAATGACGAAGTCATACTTCTTTCAAATGTCTCGTTAATCACTTGATCTTAAACCACAAAGGAGAGAACACTTCATTCACTTGAAACTGAAGCACCCAATCCCTGCCATGAATAGCAAAGCTTCAGATAAGCAAAGCACACGCCTTCATCCATTTCACAAACTTAAATCGACAACAGAAAAAAAGAAACTATAGTTTCCACCACTGCCTTTAGACAGTAAAAAAACCGGGTAGCAACTGAATTTGTAAAGTGTTAGTAGCTTCAGCTGGTCCACTGCCTTTAGATCATTCATGGTGGTGGTACACAAAGGTAGGACATAAAAAGTTATCTACCAAACTAAATCTATCAGTATCTAAGACCGTCATTCCAGATGTAGATAAACCCTTGTACTCCCAGAATCGATCTCTCAATTAATTTCCTACCATCTTGGACAAATTTCAGCTTCACTATCCTGTAACCCTAAAAAGGACCAAATTTTAGAGCAATTGGTTCCCAATTCCGATATCTGAGCCTATGATCATCAGCGGAAGGGGACCAAGCTGAAATTCCAAATAACACATAAACTCAATAAAGCTAAACTCTAAGAAAGCAGACACCAAAAGGAGCTCCGAATTCTCGCAACCAGAAAAGCAAATGAATCATCAGAATTCAGAAGAAGGACAACAAGTAGCAGTGACCCAACAACAACAACAAAAAGCCTCCAAACCCCATTTTCCACAACAGTGGCAGCAAACAGAGAGTTAACAGAATCAGGGGGGACGACAAATTACCTGAAGACTGATCGACGATCAGAAAGCCACAGAGATCGAGAGCAACTCAATCAGAGAACAGAGACGGCAAAAGGAGAGGAAGGGGAGATGCTACAAAGCCTACAACAACGCGTTGCTGGGGTAAAAGGGTTAGGGTTCGGAGCGGGGGGGCACGAGAGAAGGAAGGAGGAGAGTGAATGAAGAGAGAGAGAAAAAGGGTTGGGGAAGGAAGGAGTAAAAGACTTTGGTAGGGGGGTGGAGGAAATGCTAATCACGAGAAGTAGCGCTGCTTTGCCTTTGCACTACTGTTCTTTTCTCCTCTGGAAATGGCGGAAGAAATTTCTGAGTACTGGAAGGGAAAGGGACGCTACTCCTTTTTTTTCTTCTTCCACCTGTACTATTTTAAATTTGTGTTGAGGTAGCCGGAGCTGCTGACGTCGTCGTTCTAGTAGTCGCCCATTGCAGTACACGTACGGTAGAGGCGGTGGTCGGGTGACGGGGAGTGATTCGAGACGGAGAAACAGAGCAGTCTTGAAGAAAGCGGCATTTGGACGGCAGCGGCAGAAACTTTTTTTTTTTTTTTCTTGTTCTTCTTCTTTTTGTGGGTCAGCGCCAAAATTTCCTATGAGGAAAGGAAAAAGGTAGGTTTAAATTACTAAATTGAAATCAACTTTTAGATTATTTTACCGGGAAAAAATGGTTAAACTCATTGACTGGGTAAAGTAATAAGAACCAAGGTGCAAAGCTTTTAATATTTGAAAAGGAAAGCTCGTAAAGGAGACGAACCCAGTAGTCAGTACCACTACCACATAGATTTTGGGTATTTGCAATTGGATTTGATGGGTGAGGACTGAGGAGTGAATTACAGATTGGATTGGGCTTCCTGAAAGCTTGGGTCTGATTACGTGTTGGGCCGGGATGATGTTGGGGAACACAGGCTGAGGCCTGCCAAATGCCAATATGTGGACGATCTGCATATATACCTTTTGCTCATTGGCTATGTACCCGTTAACTTTGTACATTATTATTCTTCTTAATTGAGTGACTTATTGGAAAGAAGAAAAAAATGAGCGAATTTGCATCGAAAACCAATTAAACAACTGTTTTACTATTATTATGTCATGTCTTTCTCTGATAGAAAAAAATTCATGTATTGATTAATTAGGTAACAGTGTCTTATTCAAATCTCATACTCATATCGACACGTTATGAGAGAGATCTACGATTTATAAAAAATTTTAAATTTTAACTAACAAGACACGTTTTTTCGGTGAAATGAATGAGTTTTTATGAAAACTCTAAAATTAAATGTGCTACATATCAAGCAGCGCAAAGATGGATGATATCTCTGCAAGTCATCATGATGCACCCCCTAAAAGCAAAACCGTGTGGGTAGACAACAAAAACAGACAATATTTTGGTCACGGAGAGATTCATGATCCACAAGGAACACCAAGTTTTAACTGGTAGTATGCATTTTTGGGTCAAATATAAGAGTTTGTGTCCAAACTTTAAAGTGAAATATGTTCAACATAAAACCGTGCAGAGGTGTGTGGCTTCTCTAAAGGTCATCATGATACACTTTTTACATGCAAAATAAACTTAATACGTACAATTTTTTAGTGAGGAAAAAAAGTCGAGGCATTGCAAATTCCAACTACAATACTGATTAAAAGTTGGCGCAAGTCTTTATTAGTTGTTATTCAAATTCAACCCATGAGTAGGGGTGGGCAACGATTCGGTTTACATCGGACCGAATCGACTCTCACACCGAATCAGATCGAACTGTTTATCTTTCGATTCGACTTTGGTTCCTAAATGTTGGTTAATTTTTGGTTTTGGTTCAGTCTAGAACGAAACCGTAAAATCAAGCTAAGGATCGGACCGAATCGTAGTTAAATGAATTGCATATTATATTATGCTCCGAGAAGGGAAGTCGACTTGGAGTTGAAAAGTGAGAACCGTAGTACCCTACACGACACTTAACTACCTATAAATATGATTGACTTTCCCTGACTTAGACTTGCCTCTCCGTCTCCTATAGTCTTGCCCTCAAATCATGGTTCTCATCAGCATTGCTTCGATCAAGAGAGCTGCTTACTTGCACTAGTTCTTGGAGTAAGTGTCACTTTGTTAAACTACTTTCTAATGCCTTGTATCATGTGCTTATATTGCAGAAGAAAGGCTTTCAAATGGACAAGCGGTCCAACGTGCACTGGAAATGAAAGTGGAAGATTAGAGAGGCAATTAGTTCGACTACCTTTGAGATTGAATAAAAAGACTTTTGTCTTGTAATTTAAACAGTAGTTCATGTTTAGCTTTTTGCATAATATTTTGGAACATGTGGTTTTTTAAGAATTGTGGAGTATTTAAATTTTGATAATTTGATTGCCTTTTTTGTGTAGTTACATTTTTAATTAATGTGTTGTGCTTTAAGAGTGATTTTATTCGAATGAAATATTAGTTGGTTCAATGGGATGGTCCAGACCGAATCGAGCCATATATGGTTTGATCCAGACCGAATCGAAGTAATAACGATTCGACTTTGGTTCTTGATTTAGAAAAAAAATTGATCCGATCAGAGAGTAGTTTGGTCCGGTCTTGGACCGAATCGACCGATGTCCACCCCTACTCATAAATGATAAAAATAGGTTTCGGCGTTGACCTTTGAAAATGTTTGCAATTTGGATACCTTAACGCAGCTTACCCATCTTAAAATAAAATAACCACAATAACTATACCCCATAAAACTAGTTATCAACCGTAATTATTCTAATTTACAGAATCATTATATGATTGTGACTAAAACAGAGAATGTAACCCATTTTTCAACATGAGATTCCATATTTCATTACTAACCTCATTGTGTTATCATTATCATACTATTAGTTTATACCATTGTTTCCTTTTTTGACTCTCGCTATCACATATTATTCCAACTTTGCTTAAATCTCAATCAAAAAATCAATTCCACGCCTAACATTTCCCCAAAACAGCATAACAATTAACAAAACAAACGATTCCTCGTTTTGAGCTTTTTATTTCCATTTTTTCGTTGCTATTTGTCAAGACATAATCCCTTTGATTAGATACCATAATCTCGTTTCTTACTTCTTACTTTCTTAGACTGGAATATATCCTCCCGATGCACTGGCCCACTCGGACCCATTTCGGCGGACCCTTACCCGGCCCATTCAGGCCCATACCGCTCCCTCAAATCCCACTCTTCTTCCCCATTTACTTCTCTCACTTCTCAATTCGTACTTTCACGCTTCAGTTTCCTCTCCCCCCAATCAGTCTCCCCCTTCAATGGAGCCGCCGTCGATCGAGCACTTGGCCGACGACCTACAGAGCGTGAGCTTCACTTCCACCGGAACCGGAACCACCGCCACGCTCCACCGCAGCACGAGCTCCTGCTCCTCGTCGTCGGCATCCACTCTCACACCCGCTCCTTCCGCCCACACTTCCTTCTCTTCCAAGACGGCCCCCAAAAAGCAGCCGCAGCTGACGTTCTCGGATCTCCGATTCACCCTCCGCCTCGGATCCGGCGACATCGGCTCCGTCTACCTGGCCGAGCTCAAGAAATCGACGTCCACCGCCGACGCCAGCGGCGACGAAATCGCGATTTTCGCGGCGAAGGTGATGGACAAGAAGGAGCTGGTGAGCAGGAACAAGGAAGGGAGGGCGAGGACGGAGAAGGAGATTCTGGAAATGCTGGACCATCCGTTCCTCCCGGCGCTCCACGCCGGCATCGAGTCGCCAAGGTGGATGTGCCTGCTGACGGAGTTCTGCCCCGGCGGCGACCTCCACGTGCTCCGCCAGCGCCAGCCGCTCAAACGGTTCGACGAAACCGCCGTCAGGTGCGCACGTTAGCAACACTTCCCCCCTTCCTTTCCTTCTCCCTTTTTTTTTCAATTTCCATTTTTTTGAAAATAGTAAAAAAATAAGATTTCAATTTTTCTGGAAGTTTAGAACGGCGTGTGGCCGTCCCTTCGTCCTCGATTCCCGTTTGTCCGATTTCACCGCCGGGCACCCTTTCTCTCTCCCCTAAACCGTTAGTTGCGTAATGAAACGACGACGTGTCGAGGGAGACGGGTCGGGGGCCCCGTTTTCCTCACCTGGGAGCACTGGCTCTGCCGGTGCCAGTCATTTGTGGTCCCCTACTGCACGGTCGCATCGACCGGCTTTTTCTTTTTTTCCCTTTTTCGCCCCCCCCTTTTCGTTATTATTTAATTGACGAAATTGGGGGGATTAGTTATTTACTAACGGAGTGAAACAGTGAGTCTCACGGCGTGGTCGCCGTACACCCAGATCATATTCAGAAGGGAGGAGATGATCACGTGTGGTGTAGTCCACGTAATCATCCATGGTTTGACTTCTTCTTTGCTTCCTTTTTTTTCTTAATCACAAGAAAGAGATCCCAGATCGCGCTAATGCTTACTTAACAACGTAAATTACGTGAACTTCCCATAAGGGTAAACTTTATAAATGGCAAGGAGCAGAAGGGCCTGCCAATAATACTAAACCATATGAAGGAGCCAGCTGTTGCTGTCGTTAGACCAGTTATTTGGCTCGGTGGGTGGTTGGATTGGAAATCTTGTGAGTTGTGTGCCTGGTGGTGGCAGAAGCCGTAGCCAACTCAAACAGCCTCATAGAGGCAGAGAGCCAGAGAGTAAATCTGGCGGTTGTGGTTGTTGATGGGTCAAACCTAAGGTCCACCAACTGTTGTCAACAGTATTTTGTCCGGTTCATGAATTCCCTGTTTTTGACTTTTGAGTTGACTGAAGGGGAGCAACCCTATAGGAAGTTTGAAGTTAGAAACCATCTACAGTTTGAGCCACTAGATTGGTAGTGAAATATGGGTCTAGTTTGGAAGGATTTGAGTTATGGGCATCGGTTGAGTACAAATGTGGGGCAGCTAACATTTTGCATGGTAAGTAGAAAGGGGGCGTGGGATTAAAGAGGGTGGATTCATGTCTACCCGTTTTTTTGTGGTGTGGAGTCATTTTCGTTTGAGTGAAAACTAGGCACCACAACCCTACTTTCCTTTTGCTAGTTTTCATCTTTTGATTGAGACATACCAAGGAAGCGAGAGCGAGCCATAAACATTGAGACAAAGACATATACTTGAACCTTCAAGGTCGTACACCTCTTGATAGGCAATTGGATATATGGTTCCATTTTGGAATTGAAGAAGAAGAGGTGGACCGGTGGTCCTTTTCCTTGGGACAGAGCATATGTGCATCCTTGTCCATATATGAATTGTGTAGCTCTTTTGGCATTATTGGTTGAGGTTTGCATTAGTGGTGGTGTTTTTGTGTACTGCTTTGGAGCTTGGTACAAGGATAAAGATTAGCCTTTAGCTGCATGATTCATAATCATAGGGTTTAAATCACATTAACCCCTAGAATCAGTGTGATTAGCCTACTGATTATCAGGTTGAGAATATGTAAACTGTTACCTTTTTAGCTGACTGCTTAGCTTCTTTTAGTGCTATGTCTCCACCTTTAGGCGTTAGCTATCCAATTTTGTTTGATTAACTTCTGCATGTAATGGATTTCCTCATGATTTTAGAGTACTGTGATTCGAGGTCGACCCCAATGGCCAAGAATACATCTTACTTCCCCTTCTTGTCTGCTTGTGAGTGCTGCTAGAAATAAGTATACAAGTAACCACTCCTTAATTTAAGAAACAGGACACTTCATCTGCTCCCTTTAATCATGGCACTCTCCCTTAGCCTTTTCTCACTTGGCCGTTTCTTTGTAGGCACTAAAGTGTTGGGAAGACCATTGCCATTAGTTTCCAATAATCAATGTCGTCGATTACGTGTTATGTGCTATAGTTTATCATATCTACATAAAGCCATCATGAAAACTGCCAAGTGATGGATCATTTTCCCTCGTCGTCTTTTGGCTATTGTATTGTTTTGTAGCATAAAGGGAATCCATATGAAGAGGTACCCTTGTCGATCCCTTGTTTAGCAGTTAAGGGGAAGCATGAACACCAAGCAAATCTTTGTGTTTTTATTTGTGTGTACTGTAATGACGTGATAATCAAAGAACAGATACATACATCTGGCCAATAATCTTGAAACAACTGTAGGTCCCATTTGTTTCCTTTGTTTAGGGACTCCTGTTGGTTAGTAGCTTCTCAATTATTTTCCTACTCTTAAGAATAGTGTTCACATCCTAGTTTTCCTTCTAGCCTTGCTTTCGTATCGTTTTGAACGATTCTAAGTTATGACTCAAGTCATTATGATAGATAAACTAGAACTCGATATGGTATGAGAGCTTACAATGGTCAAAAGTCGGAATATTGTAATATTTCGATTGCATTTGCTCCTGAATCGAGTTGTGATGATATGGTCGACTCTTATCTTAAACTAGAATCATCTCGTAGATGAAACATCGTATATGATTCATTGATATTTTTCTATTTGTAAGCTATCGGGACGGTTTAATCAATCAAAGGCAAAATATCTCTGTTTCAAGTCTTTCCGCATACACAAATGGCTGAAAGTGTTGCTTTTTTTTTCCCCTACAGGTTTTACGCATCAGAAGTAGTGGTGGCGTTGGAGTACCTTCACATGTTGGGAATCGTCTACCGCGACCTGAAGCCGGAGAACGTCCTCGTCCGTGCCGACGGCCACATAATGCTTACCGATTTCGACCTCTCCTTAAAATGCGACGACACCGTTTCAACCCCGCTAGTAATCCTCTCCACCCAGAACCCGCCGGCCGGAGTCGCATTACTTCCCAACAACAAAACAGACTTCGCCGCCGCCGATCACCGCCCAAATTTCACTTCCTCCTCGTGCATCATCCCCAACTGCATGGTCCCGGCCGTCTCCTGCTTCCACCCAATGCGCAAGCGAAAGAAGAAGACAAACCAACGAGCCGGGCCCGAATTCGTCGCCGAGCCTGTCGACGTCCGGTCCATGTCGTTCGTCGGCACCCACGAGTACCTCGCGCCGGAGATCGTGTCCGGGGAAGGACACGGCAGCGCGGTGGACTGGTGGACGCTGGGTATATTCATGTACGAGATGGTCTACGGCGTGACGCCTTTCAAAGGCATGGACCACGAGCTGACGCTGGCTAACATTGTGGCCCGGGCGCTGGAGTTCCCCAAGGAGCCCGCCGTGCCGGCGGCGGCGAAGGACCTGATTTCGCAGCTGCTGGCGAAGGATCCGGCGAGGCGGTTGGGTTCGACGATGGGGGCGTCGGCGATTAAGCACCACGCGTTTTTCCAAGGGGTGAATTGGGCTTTGTTGAGGTGCACGAAACCGCCGTATGTGCCGCCGCCGTTTAGCAGGGATGTTGTGTCGGACGATAGTTGCCCCGAGACACCGGTTGAGTATTATTAAATCAAATAATCATAAGTTATGTATAAAAATTATTAGAAGGAAAAATTGGCTAGAGGAAAGGAAAATGAAATTTCCCCACTGCGTATATTCGTCGGTCGATTCCGGTGTTCATTTCTCTTTCAATTTGTTCTTGTTCTAGCGGTAAATATTTGCAGTGGTTGTAAAGATGCAGAAGATGGTTATAGTGGAGTGGAAGGGTTGGTTTTTGAAACCATAAGGTGAAAGAGTGTAATACAAAAGCTCACGTTCAAAGCAATGGCAGATCTAACTACATGTAAAACTTGTCATAAATTTAAGAGATCGAAAGAACGCGAAGAAGGATGGAATTTATTTACTGTAAAAAAGTTTTGGAACTTATTTGTTCTTTTGCATATGCGTTTTGCTTATTCGGGGGTATATTGTTCTTTCCCATCAATAAAAATCGAGATATGCTCCAACATCCTCCGCTACATCTAGTTAACGGCTTTTTTTCTTTTTACTTTTGAACGACTCCTGAAAGTCTCATTCGATAAGAGTTTGTTAATTCCCTCTTTACCGTAATTATATCGAGGTTCGAATTATTTGAACTTAGTTGTTTGACATTCTTCCATTTAGCTTTCTGACTTCGTCAATGGTCTGACGATCAATTACGATAAGTTTAACTAAATAAGTTGATGAGATCCTGGAGAATAATGGGGGAGTTTCATCGGATTCATTGTTTAGTAAACTACAAGTTCATCAAGATGTAGTGGGTCAATTGAAGACGTACAACCCAACTATGTTGTGCCAAACTTACTTCTAAGTACAAGAAGTAAAGTTCCAAGCAATTTGTAAGTTGTAAATGATCATTGTTAGATCTCAAATACCGAATTTAAACTTGTTGGATATTATCATCGTTACATCACCACTCAGTCACCCCCCCTTCAATTTTCCACAGTGAGTTGTCGTCAGCGATCAAAGCAGTTGCAATATTATGCGGTGGGGGCGTGGCCGGGAATAATGTGAATCCATATATACACGCATCCATCGACCAGTCGCCTGCAGACAGTTTGATTATTCAATCACAGCCATAAAAGAGCGAGAGCGATAGGGGAAGAAAAAGCCGGTGAGGATGGTGGCTGTCGGGTGGCGGAAATCAATAACGGGACCGGCGGCCGGGAAGAAAAATTGGAGAGTTTGTTGTGTGTGTGTGTGTTTATTCGTTTTGTTGGTAATTAAGAGCGTCGCAAAAAGTCCACCGCCCCCATGTGAATTGAATTGAATGGGCAATCTGTTCGTGGAGGCAACAAAATCTTCTAATAAGTAATAAGTGTGAGGCTCAGGAATAATGAATATATCAGCGACTCATCGTTGTGTTTCTTATTAGTTGTTCGGTTCCTCTCATTTTTTAGGGGTGTTTTTTTTGGCTCTATTAGGGGAAATTAAGGAGAATCACGTCATGATGTCTGCTGAATGCTACTGATGTTTTCATATCTGACTCTATGTATCCATCAAAGGTTTCAACAAAGAGGTATGGGTAGGACTCAAGGGTTGGAGTTAGCATGGGACATTGGCTCGTTCATGAATTCCAACAAGTCCACAACAAACATATATACTAGTCTTGTATTAACCTTTGGAGTGAAGTCTCTTGTCATTTAGGTTAGGTGACAAAACATCTAATTTTGGATTATTCGCGCTATATTTGCGTTGTTCACGCCATATTTGTGTCATTCACGTCATATTTGCGTTACTCACGTAAAAGTGCTGATTATTCACGTAACCAATACCGTTACTGTAAAAAAAAAAAAATACCGTTAGGTCACACCATCTGATGTTTATTCACGCATATTGTTAATTATTCACGCCGTTGTAAAATAAAATTTTAAACTCTGAAATATATCAAAATGGATGTCATTGTGTAGATTATGATCAATGCAACATATTTATACAGATTAAATGATAATCCAAATTTAATTCCATAAAATATAGCCAATACAAATTATTAGGGAGAAACAGTATGAATTTTCATTTACGTGAAAAACTTACACTCTTACGTAAATCACCATATTATTACGTGAATAAGCACAAAATGGCATGAATTGGTGTTCTATCACCTAACGTGACAAGAGATATTTTCCTAACCTTTCAAGTTTTCTAATATCGTAGTTGAGAGGTCCGACCCATTTGTTTAGCAAAAGGCTTAGCTACTTAGTTCGATTGTTCAGAACATAAGGGCACTCTTTGTCATTTGAAAATTATGTTGTTGATGCGAACACGAGCGTGATCTAGTGTAATTATTATTGATTTTCGACATGGAGGTTTTACACTCGAATAACCTGATTATCATAACAATAAAATCGAACTTATGTTACCCATACAAAACAACCATGATATTGAAGTTTTTGATTCTATTATTTGTCATTAGCAAGTGTATGCACAATCCACTCGTTTTTTATTTGGGTTGTTTGGTAACCATGTATTGTAGATTACTTGAACTTTCAACACATCATGTGTTTTGTAGTTAAGGTTGCGAGAATTCATGTAACAATATGGCCTACTCCATAGTCCCAACAACCAGGCGTGTGGAATGGTTTGGTTCATACTAGACCGCATCGAACCAAACTAATGTTTAAGTCGGATCATACCGAATCAAATATAATATAGTATAGTCCTTAGGTTCAATTTTATAAATACTAAAGAGAAATAAACCAAATTACCATTTATACAAGATCAAATCAGACTGAATGCAATTTTGTATGATCCTCGATTCTAACGATATCTTTCACAATCGGACTCTGAATTTCATGAAGAGTATGGAAGGACCAAACCGCTGCACTCCTGACAAGAAAGTACATTCCCATTAGATGGGACTATTGGGCCCTCTTTTCTCCGTCACCCCTCGTCGCAAGCCCAGTCCAATTCCCCGTTTCTTCGACCTTTTAACTTTGTGTGTGGGCTAGTGCCAAGCGGGCTAGCGGCCCAATCTACCTTCACAATGTCGTTGACGTAGCCGGGAATAAATGTGTAGTTGGTCATGGAACTCGTGGGTATAGTTCAGTTGGGCGCTCAAATTATGTGTGAAAGTATATCAAACTACTCACTTGACATGACAACTATCTAATCGAACGCCTTCTAATTGTCAAATCAGGACCACAATCTTAATAAGTGTGGGATATGAGACCCGAAGACTCATCACCTTGTCAACTCTTACTCTTATTAGGTTGTAGTGTAAGTCGGAAATATGTATCTCTATAAAAATTAATTTGACAAATGTTTATGCGTTAGATTGTCGATCGTGACACATATAAGTGACAATGAGATGCTTTTGTACAATCAATATAGTAGACAAAAAATTTTAATTCGTGAAAAAGTATTCCGATCTTGTGTTTCGAGCAGCCAACTAACATTATGTCATTTCTTTCTTCTCTAGGTTATATACTTTAACATTTTTTGTGTGTCTATATAGTAGTTATCGAAGCCAGATTTTTCACGTTTTTTTCCACGAAATTATAAGATTATAGTCATGTGAATACGGAGTATCTTGTTCATATATAAGATTATATTATAGTGCAATGTCAACCATATATGCGAGACACAAATAGTTTGATGACCAATTATGTATTGAAAACCTGAAGGAGGTCCAAAAGGTAAATAAAAATGTTTATTTAACTTTTAAAAAGAGGCCCCGACAAGTTACGGCGGCCGGTGCTTATTAGCAAGTAGCAACTTCCGGCAGCTTGAAGCTTAAAATTAAAATCCTCCACAATCACAATTCACAAGTCCCGCGCTCAAAAAAGACTTCAGAATCACAGTCGTTCGAGCTCCTCTCTTCTGCTCCTTCGCCGGTCCTCTCTCACTCTCACCGTCCTCCTTCCTCTGTCTCGCCGTAGGTTTCGGCAACAATGGAGGAGCCACAAAACGGGAACTCAAACGACCACTCGGAGGCCCCGCCGGAGACCGAGGAGCCTGCCGTCGGCCCCGCACCGCCTCCTAAGGCTCGCACCAAGCGTCCGCTCCAGTTTGAGCATGCCTACCTCGACGCCCTTCCCTCTGCAAATATGTATGCAATGCCTGCTTTCTCCCTTCTTATGCTCAACTTCGCCCTACGGATTGTTATTTTAGGGTTTAGGTTTCTTCAGAGCGTAGCATAGCTTCGCAACTCTGCGGGAAATGATAGAGCGAACTAAATACTAGAAGTTATTCGTTAGCGCTTTTGCCACTATGGTAGTGGAATTTGAGCTCTAATTTTGAAGTTGTAGCTGTTTTTGGGATTTGTTTTGTTGCTTGATATTTAGGAATCATCTTTCAATGTGGTTAGATTCGAGTAGAACAGGAGATGATCGTAACAGATTATAATTGGCGTCAAATCTGTTTGCCCTTTCCTTTATACGATTTACACGCTCTTCCTTCAGGAGATGAACTCTTCTTGGTACTTACCTTCTTTGTTTTATGAATCTCTTAATCTGTCCCCGTGCTGTCAAATTGGTCAAAGTTTTCGTCTTCTGCAAGCTCAAGTAGTTAGAGTGGGATGTTTGCCTTCCTTGTTGGTCATAATTCTTATTAGCCAGTCGATGGTTGTCATAAATGCTCCTGTCTAATGTGTTAGGGAGGCAACGCATTGCGTCTCTTTCTCCCTCGTTCAAGTTTATTACCCTTCTGTTTCTTTCATCACGAAAGATTAGATCTTGAAGTCTGAGCATATTTGTTTTCTATGATGCATCACATGCTTGAAACTTGGCCTTTTTTCTTAGATTGACTAAAAGTTGTTGTTACTGAATGTTAATCTACAAGTGTGACAAGAGTTACTCTTTTATGTTTTACATGGCAGGTATGAGAAAAGTTATATGCATCGAGATGTGGTGACGCACGTTGCTGTTTCAGCAGCAGATTTTTTCATCACTGGAAGTCTTGATGGTATTGCTTTTGATTGTATATGCGAAGGTGTTTCATGCCCTGTCATTTTGTTCCTGAACTTTTTCCTGAAGTTGTTTCTTTCTACGCTCCAAAGGGACCCCTATGTCTGGCTTATATTACCAATCATAGCTATCTAGAAAGGAGATCTTGGTAGCATAATATTGTGGAGCTGCTCTTTAATTTTCGGTCTGTCTGTAAGCTTCAGTAGGATTGCCATATCTGAAGTTAGACTTTATTATAACTTAAAGCACCATGCACTAGAATGTCTATTGGATACATTATTTTGGATGTAAGCTGTTCAGATTGTCTTCTTCAGTAGCTGTTGGCTGTTCTCTCAGAAAGTTTATATATTTCATCAGTTAACATAGTGATGATAACTTTTCTATATTCTGTGGGCTGGAGGCCTGTCTTCCGATGCCTGGGGTTTATCCTATGAAAGATGCAAAAGAGCTGAAGTTGATGGTGAAAGTTGGTTAACACCTCCAAGGTTGTTGGCATTTTTCCATTTGTTAACTTAACACGGAGTGCAGGGGTTTATCACAATCTAAATCAATTACTTTTTTTCGTTGTTGATAATGGAGCTTATTCCAAATTGTTATCTTTGAGTTCCCCATTCTTTATTTCGTGAATTCCATTACCTCGGATGCTGCAGCATTTGAAGTTGCATATGTCGGAACATTTCATGTTGAAAAATTGAGTTTGCTTATACTTTGATTCTCAGGTTTTGAGTCAAGGCTCTCAGCCTGTTTGTATTATATAGCTTATTCATCACTTTACTTGCCCAGTGAATGCAATCTGTGCAGGTTTTTTTTTTTGTTGTTGTAGTTCTTATGATGTCTTTGTCTTAGTGGATGCCAGGGATTGGAAAATTGTGTTTTGATGGAGGCTTTCTTTTTCCTTGTTTATGCTTCAGGGCACTTGAAATTCTGGAAGAAAAAATCAATTGGTATTGAGTTTGCAAAACATTTCAGATCCCATCTTGGTCCCATAGAAGGCTTAGCGGTGAGTTCTTTTTGCTGCCTCGGTTAATTGTTAGTTCATTAGTTGATTGTCAATTTGATTTGTGTTGATAAAAAATTTGATCTTGAAAACCCTTCTCATTGGAAATCTTGTAGTGTATTCGGTTTCAATTAACCTAGTTTGTATTGGTTGGAAGGGCACTTCACAAACTTAAGTGGGATTGCGAGTACAGTGACCTTTAGTTTCCTCTTTACCATGCTTATTTATGTTCATAATTTTATTTGGCACATCATTGGCTTTTCTTGCTTGTTTAATTTCAGTTCGAGTTGGATGGTTAGTGAAGTCCTCAACCCTGACCCTTTTCCAGCTTTGCAGGTTAGCATTGATGGTCTGCTGTGTTGCACGATATCAAGTGATCAATCCGTCAAAATCTATGATGTGGTGAATTATGACATGATGGTCATGCTTAGCTTGCCATATCTTCCTGGGAGTGTTGAATGGGTTTATGAACAAGGAGATGTGAAAGCCAAGCTTGCAATCAGTGATCGAAACTCCTCTTTTGTTCACATTTATGATGCACGAGCGGGTACAAATGAACCTATTATCTCAAGAGAGGTAACTAACTAGAGATGCAGTAGTTCCAATGACAAGCCGCATTACCTCTTTCCTTGATGAAGATATCAAATTTTTGCTTTTTGATTTGTTCCTCCAGATTCACATGGGGCCAGTCAAAGTTATGAAGTACAACCCAGCTTTCGATACTGTGATATCTGCTGATATGAAGGGAATAATTGAATATTGGAGTCCCTCTACACTTCAGTTTCCAGAGGATGAGTATGTGCCCCTCTACACATAAATGTCTTTTATTAAAATTGAGATGTCTGAATTCATAGATATGCTATTATCTGTCTCATTCCTTTTGCTTTTAGATTTGTATTAAGCAATGTTATCAGAACCGAACCGGTGCATGACCCGGTAATGCGAACGGCTCGCACTTTAGTGGTCCAACCGGCATTAGCCCGTTTAAAACCGTTAGAGAACCGGTACCTAATAAACGTTATCAGTATAAATAGTGGACATTTCTTAATCAGAGCTCGTCTCTTTCCTTCGAAATTGTGAAATGGAAATAAGGATTCAGTTTGAGAGCCTGATGTTTTTAGTTTTTTTCAATTTTCAATTTTCTGCAATTTTTTTAATTAAATTTAATGGCTGAATGGCAAAAACCGGACGAGCGGCTCAATCGGCTCGAGCGGTTAACCGCCTCGGCCGCTCGTCAACGACTACATAAAACCGGAGCGACTTTTAGTCTGTTTCGAGCCGGTTTTGTGACCGGGTGGCGGTTTTACCGGTCAGGCCGAGCGGCTCAGCTCGACTTTAATAACACTGGTATTAAGATGATACGCCTCTGGTCCTTGTTTTCATCTAATGTCATCCATCTTCATCCATTCGTAGTATTATTCCTGTTAGGTCCATTCTTTTTACAATTTACGCAGTTACTTTTTAGCTTTCCATTATTGACTTATTGTCAATGGTTGTGATGTCTGACGACCTTTTCTTTTAATTTGCAATGCAGGGTGAATTTTAAATTAAAAAGTGATACTAACTTATTCGAAATCGTGAAATGCAAGACGAGTGTTTCAGCTATTGAGGTGATATGACTTCTTTTTGTATAAGTGTCATTGTGGATGGTGGATGGTTAGAATTAGAAGAAGGAAACTAATTAGTCAATCTGAAATTTTTACGCCCTTCAGGTCAGCCCCGATGGTAAGCAGTTCTCAATTACATCACCTGATCGCAGGATACGAGTATTTTGGTTCAGAACGGGCAAACTAAGACGAGTTTATGATGAATCTCTTGAGGTAAGACCAATGTTTGACTAGACTATCATTTTAACTCTGCTCCTTTAGTTTTTTCTAAAGATTTTATCTGCTGTGGGTAGGTGGCTCAAGACCTACAAAGGAGTGATGCTCCTTTGTACCGACTAGAAGCCATTGATTTTGGACGAAGGATGGCTGTTGAGAAAGAATTTGAGAAAACAGAAACTGCAACTCAGCCAAATGCTGTTTTTGATGAAAGTTCCAATTTCATCATATATGCGACACTGCTGGGAATAAAAGTAAGTGAACTTTGATTATTTCATCTAATTGCTAATGCTTTATGCCTTAGGTTGTTATTCACATCTTTAATTTGAGATTCAATGATTTTTTCCAACTCTTTCGACCTTCTATGTATATGTAGATAGTAAATCTGCACACAAACAAAGTGGCCCGAATCCTTGGAAAGGTGGAGAACAACGACAGGTTCTTGCGAATCGCCTTGTATCAAGGCGACCGAAGCAATAAAAAAGTTCGAAAAATTCCCACAGCAGCAGCTAATGCAAATGAGAGCAAAGAGCCATTAACTGACCCTACTCTTTTATGTTGTGCCTTCAAGAAGCACAGGATTTATTTATTCAGGTATGTGGCTTATTAACTTGTCTGATTTTATCCTAGTGACTGTTCTGTAATTCTGACAAATTATGAAAGCATGTCTTGTGAACATCTGACAGCTTTAGAGTTAATCTACCTAGTACATAAGCTTGTGGAAGCCCTAAGCTTTATGATGAAGACCTTTTAGAGTCATTCCTTGGTATTGAAGTGCTTTTTTCCCCGCTGAAGAGAAAATTACTTCATTTTATCAAAAAGCGGATAAATGTTTGCTTCATACAAGTTGATAAAGTGCTGCACTTCAAGGAACAAAAATCTCTTCAAGATGTGATCTAGTTATTTCCAATAGGTAGATGATCAGTAAGAAGGAAAATTACGGTTTATTAGTTTGAAACATAAACTTGTCCCTTCTTAATGTTCTATCATGATCTAAGGTACTTGAATATCAGTGAAATAATTGAATGAAATACTTCATGAAACATCTAAAGTTATGTTCTCTCGAAATGGGTTGCAAGTAGCTAGCTATCATCCAGCAACAATGAGGTTATGACATGTGGTTTTATCACTTTCTTAATGTACTAATAACAGCCGGAGAGAGCCAGAAGAGCCCGAAGATGCAACTAAGGGTAGGGATGTTTTCAATGAGAAGCCTCCAGCAGATGAACTCTTGGCTGTTTCAGAACTAGGAAAGGCTGCGGCATCATCACTCCCTGAGAATGTGGTGAGTTTTCTAATGATATGAATAGATAACCCTTAATCAGTTTATCTCCTTATCTGCCATTCGGAATATGCTGTATTTACTCATTCATTTAGATACATACGGTTGTAATCAAGTTCTCCTACGTTGAAAGTCGTATTTTCCCCCCTTCCATGATTGATAGAAGCAAGGGGGATCATGCTGTTGTCTGATTAATTTTTCTGGTAACATTTCCATTTTAATGCCAGATTCTGAACACTACAATGGGTGACATTCATATGAGACTCTACCCTGAAGAGTGTCCGAAAACTGTGGAGAACTTCACGACACACTGCCGGAACGGTTATTACGATAATTTGATTTTCCATCGTGTCATCAAAGGGTTCATGATACAGACGGGAGATCCTTTGGGAGATGGCACTGGTGGGCAGTCCATTTGGGGAAGGGAGTTCGAGGATGAATTTCACAAAAGGTTTACTAACTTTCTGTGAAAAATGTTTTATGTCAATAATAAGATTGAGAAGTGAAGACTTTATCCAACTGATCCGTTTCTTTCCTTATCCCCTCCATTGCAGCTTACGTCATGATAGGCCTTTCACAGTATCTATGGCAAATGCAGGGCCAAATACCAACGGTTCTCAGTTTTTCATCACCACAGTAGCTACACCATGGCTGGATAGTAAACATACTGTATTCGGCAGAGTCGTTAAAGGAATGGATGTTGTCCAGGTAACGCTACAACTGTCCATGACACACTGTTTCTAATATATAGTCAATCAGCTCTCCCTACTAACAACACTATTAGCTTTGCTTTTGGGACTAAATGTTATGGCGATTGCAGGGTATCGAGAAGGTGAAGACTGACAAGGGCGACAGGCCATACCAAGATGTGAAAATTTTGAATGTTACTGTCCCAAAGAATTAACATCACCCCACAAAGGAGACTGCCTTGAGAAGTGGAGTGCGATTTGCCGAGAATCTTGTGTCCCAAGTAAGTAGGTCAACCTCATCCACTTCGAATTGCTTGTCCTCTCCTCTTGAGTGTGGTCTGTAGGCCAGTCTCAGTGTAGTGGTAGAAACTCTTGATTCTGGAAATGTCTCGCTGTTCATAAGGTTCTAAAGTTTTTTTCCCCCCCTTCTGTTGCAGATCGCAACACTAGCTTTCATTGTAAGCTTTCAATCGAGAACTTAGCCGCAGGATCGTTGTTCTGATACTGTATCCCGAGTCTGATATGCATCTTCCGGAAGTTCGGGGCTTTTGACGCATAGTCCTGAGTTCAAAAACCCTCTCTTTTTTATTTAGATGTACCCATTACTTGTCCACTGGTACTGATACAGAACCAAGCTGCAAACATTTTTATAAGCATATTTCCGTTTCTAGTGGAACACCACTCCTAATAATCTAATATCTTGTATCACTGCGGAGAGCTCTTCAAATCAGAGTCTGAAAACGAAACACTAAATCTTGCCGACTTGCCGTACTAGACTTCAAATAATCTCTTCGACCATGATTGTTTCATGTTTGGACTTGTAAAAAATGCTACCGATCCACTGCAAGCATGAACAAACCTATTTGTTGGGTCTGAACAGTGAACAGGGAAGGTATACTTTTACTGAAAATCAATAATGAAAAAGAAAGAGGAACTCCTGTTCTTGAGCCATGGAGGATATTTGTTAAAATGTAACCGCCAGCCAGATAAAAAGGAAGGAGGATAGGGATGAAAACTGTAAATTGCAACTCAAGTTTGAGCGAGCCATCAATTAACTGCCATGCAGAAGAAGCAAAGTCCTACCATCCCTCTCTTTTTACTGCCAAAACTACCCACACCACCTTCCCCATTAACTTAACCACTAATTACTATCTTGCAAAAAAAAAAAAAAAACACTAATAAACATTTAATACTCAAGAGGATTCTTTGTTCCTGTAAATCAAGGTGATAACAATGGCGGCAGAGCAAACTGATGCTGCTGAGAAGGACAACATTTCGCAACAGCAGGACGAGTTCATTCAGAGGATGAAAGACGAGGCACAACATATACACACACATACACACTAGCAAGTTTTCCTCAATAAAGAATCATTGGGCGATAACTGAACATAACCTGCCTTTATGTTTTGTAGGGGACGGTGGACGTGAACATCGATACGGTGGCGGGGCTCCGGTCGCCGGAGAACCCGAGGTTTCTGGTGGAGATCATCGACACTTTCGTGGCTCACTCTGCAACTGTTGTCGACCGGTTGGAGTCGGAAATGTAAGCACACATATGACATATCCAACAACTGCTAAGCTACTCAACACTTTATTTTACTGTTGGGCCCTTTTTTCCCCCTTAAATTTTGATGCATCGTTTCGTTGTGGTCGCTACTACTCAGCAATCAGCCGATTCCTTTCTACGACGATGCAGTCAGGGATCTTTTCCAACTCAAAGGCAGCTGTTCCAGGTATCGATATCTCGAGTGGATTATTTGATGCAACTCTGATTGAATTTGACACTCCAAATCATGTTGGTAGCAGCATGGGAGGTGGAAGGGTGGCGGCTGCTTGCCTCGAGTTGCGACGTGCTTGCGATGACTCCGATAAGCAGAGGTACTTACTACTGCCACTATCATCTTTGGAGGTTGATGAACTTGCCATGATACGGTGAGATGTGTAACTCAATCGCAATATATTAGGTGCTTGGAATCCTTGAAGCAGGTAAAGGACGAGTACCACAACTTGAGGGACACCCTCATCGAGATCAGCAGGGTATGTCAAAGTAAAACTTCATTCCCTTACCTACCTGGAATTGTATGTATCTATCAACCAAAGATTTACAGTAATCGATTTACTAAATTGCATTATTGGTTGATTGCCAGATGGAGAAGATTATCCTAAACAAAAATGTCACGGAGGCTTCATCATCAGCAGCATTGAACTGATAAGAGCTCGTTAGAAACTGCTATGTTAAATTGTGAACCATTCTTCTTCATTATTGTTGGGGGTCCTCTGTTTTAACGATTAGAAGTTGTGTTTGGCCTTTCTGGATCTCAGGGATATAATTCTCAATCTAACTTTCACTTACCTATGATGAAACTGTGTAGCATCACTCTTTAGGATGGCTTCTGCCCATTACACCATAAGCTGGGTTCAATGGTAGAGTATGGAACTGTTGCCTAAACTACAACACAAACCACAAAGCAAATATTCTCAGGCATATTATTCTCAAACTAAAATTCACTTACCTATCATAAGCTGGGTTCAATTGTAGAAGCCTTTGGGTAAACTACAACCCATACACAAAGTAATTCAATAGAAATAAAACAGGATACTGGAGCAATCAATAAGAGAATTTAAGTATCAAAGCTAACACTGCAATTTCATGACATCTTCATTCATAAATCCAAAATTAAGACTGCTCTCAGGCACATCCAATACATCTCGAAGTACACAGATAACAAAACTTGTCAAAAGTTCAACTAAAACACTAAGTAAAAACCCAAGTACAACAGTCTTCAAGGGGCAACAATAGCCAGCAGGCAGAGCAATTTAGTCGAACAAGCTGAAACCCATGTCCTGCAAAAACATATAAAAAAACAGACCAAGATCAGCACTTTTCATAAAAACAGAGGAACAACCAATGAACTAGATCAATAATCAATCATAAGAAGGAAGAATAGTAGGGAGAGGAAACTTTACATCATCTGACTCTTCCTTCTCTTCCACTTTCTCTTCCTTCTTTGACTCGGCAGCTGGGGCAGCACCACCAGATGCAGCAGGGCCAGCTGATGCAGAAACTGCAATGCCGCCACCGCCACCACCTGAAGGAACTGAGGCCAACTTCTCCATACCAGCTGCAATCAGCTCGGTGGTGTCCTTTCCTTTCACTTGAGACAAGAGCAACTCAATCCTGTCCTCATCAGCATCAGCGCCGACTGCAGTAAACGAATTCACAACCCAAAAACCACAGTTAACATATTGACTAGTCAGGCAGCACTTCACACGTTCTGCTCTACAATAACCACCCAAAGCGAACATTTTGAAATGCTACTAACCAGATACTACAGGAACAGAAATCCAATGAAAAGAACAAATCCTATATTACATCTGAAACTCAAATTGGTCATAGGAAGCTTGAAGTGGATTGATTTAAAACAAAGAGACTAATCAACAATATGATTTGTAAAGATCTCACATCGAAGCTATAAACCAGTGTAAAAATACATTTGAATGCTCACATGGGCTAATTCATGCTTATAAACTGATGAGCTAAACGGCAGATAAATCGAAACCCTTCATCGAAACAATCAAGGAAATGGAATTCTTACCGCATCCAAGGATCTTCTTCAAGTCCTCGGCGGTGGGGGAGGAGTTGCCTCCTAAAACGGCGAGAAGGTAAGCTGCGACAACCTTCATTTTCTGTCCTGAAACCACAACAGAAATGAAAGATTAGATCAAATTCAGAAACCGAAAGGCAGGAAGAACGACCAGAGATAAATAAATGGGTTCGTACTTAAGACTGGCTTGAAGCGGCTGAAGGATTGGAGGTGAGAGCCTCTTGCGCAAATGAAGGGAAAATTAGGGTTTCTGAGGGACGACACAAATGAAGCTGTTTAATTTATATACATGTAGGGTTTTTGTGTTTCCGCTTTCTGGTTTGCATGATCGGATCCTGACCGTTCATTATGCTAACCTGAATTTCCAGTCTGTAGCTCTTTTGGGCCTCGAATTTTTTTATAATGAATTTTTTGTTGAGAATGGGCCTCGGATTGAGCTGATGGGATAATGGACAGACCCATTAGCTATTGGGTTTCTAAGAGTAACCCACCAAACAACCCATAGGGTCATTTTGGTCATGCCTGTTGTTTAATCAAACGTTAATATCGGGATCATGGAAATTCATACACACGTGACACGACCACTTGAGTAAACCAATTCCGATATCATGTCATAAACTAGTTGATCCCAATAATTTGAGTTGTTAGGACTTAGGAGAAGGTAAGAGGATGCGTCTGGAGTGGATTCAACGCGGTCCACAGCTTTCAGTGTTATTGTGTGAATATTATAGCATTCAATGTGTATAGAAGAGATGAATTGTTTACAAAAGAGATCATCTCGTCATTAGAGATATAGTCCTGTCTATAATGTAACTTATGTAATCTAGAGCCACATCGAATTCCTGAAACTCAATTAACAGGATTTGCATCCTGTGTAGGAATTCAATTAAACAATTTGATTAAAAAATTGAGGGAACTAACTCATCTTAGGACATTTGGTTTGGGTGCCCAAACATAGAGGAATGTATCCCCAACAAATCACCTGAGAAACCATCTTTTTTTCTTGGGTGTTGTTATAGATTCATCCCTTTCTAGCTCTGGCATTCTGCACTTCATCCCCTGTTTCAGTGCCTCCATCCGTCTCCTGCACAAACCAAACAGAAAGATCAGATCAGGTTCCTGTTAATGAAATCTGTAAATATATACGCATGTGTTACTGATTCCCCTTGAGGAGGAAATGATATTCGCATTATTAATCGCAAAGCTAACATTAATGATTAATGAGCATTACTTGGTGTCAGTCATACGATCATGGAAGCTCCATCTTTGGCGAAAGCCTTCCATGCCTTCAACTCCGCTGGCAAGAATCAGGCGCCTAATAACAAGTCAGGTACAAAGAGAAATATGGTCAGCAAGACAATCCACGAATCTAATTTTCACAAGCCTGATTCAAAAAAACAGGAGATGAAAATGAAGCACACTAATGTTTAAGTTTCAAAATGTCATGGCATGAGGCTCAGCGCCCGAGTCATACATAACTAAGACAAACCTCTCATAAGCTGTGGCTTCTGCTTCAAGTTGAGTAACTCGTTTCTTTGCCTCATCCAAGGGCATTGATAACCCCAATTTGTGTTCACTATCTTGAAGGCGTTGCCTTAGCAACTTATCCTGAAACCCATCCTCTCAAACATTAAATCTCCTGAGATGAAACACAATCCAATTAGAAGTGAATGTTGTTATGCTGCGAAGCGAATCCAACTCACCCGCTTTTCAGCACATTCTCTGTACAAAGAAAGCTCATCTTGACAGAAAGGTTCGATGTCATTGACTTGCAAGCCTACAAAAAGAAGTATGAACACTGATCCTTAGTTACCACACGAGGTCAAATTGGAAAAGTACTTTGATCTCCCCCTATTATCTCTCAGAGACTCATGAGTGGCCACTCAGTAACTAGAAAGAACAGTTGTTGCTGCTCTTAACAAATGAATAGAGAACTCACATAAAAATAGATTCTTTAAGACTCCGTCGCATAATTCAAAGCCTTCCACCACATGGGAGGCAATTTCTTTCGGGATGAGAGGAGATGGTGGCCCCAACATCAGGTCCTCACCGACCAATATGGTTTCCTCCATGGTTGGCTGCGCATCAACTGAAAGCAAAGAAGAAATAAGAAAACACTTTTTCCAGGTATCAATCAAGGATTTTGTGAGTTAGGTAGCAGTTCAGCATGCACCCAGGAACCCGACATATGAGAGAGCATGAACATGTTCCCCAAATCCCACTATGCAAAAATATCGAAAGAAAAGGGAACGAAGCTCAACAACTACTTCCATTCCATAGTTTACGACCCTGAACATTCAAATCACTAAAATCCAAATCCACTTCTTCAAAATGCCATCTTTATAAACAATATATTTCCATTGAGGTAGACGACACAAATGAGAAGCATTAACATACCATCCATTGCAGCTGTCGAAATGAACTCTTTATTTCAATGTATATCAGGACCTGTAAAACGACGACACCGAAAGCAGAGTGAGAAATCAGAAGAAGTACCAGCAGATTACAGACTCCACAATCAGAACCAAGCAAGCATCACTCTACAAAATTCCACCTGGAAGCCTCAGACAAACTAACACTACTTCACTGAAAATGGAAGAAGGGATAACGGAATTGTAGCGGAAATTTTAGGCTCGTTCAGGAATTTCATCGAACACTTGGAGCACAACCCCAATTCATACTTAACCAAAAACCTCACAGGTCCTCCTCGGCACCCTCAGTTCTGACTTTCTTCAAACACCAGTCGAAAGAGGAACAATCTTTGATTCCAAATGGCGGAAAGGAGACGGAAGGGAGGAGCCTGTTTGAGTGAGTGGCGTTATACACTTACCCTTCAGGAAAGGCAATAACCAAAAGAGAAGTCTTTGCTGAAGTGCCACCAATGAACGCAACCAGGTGGGCGGGAAGGGGGAAGATCGAAAGTGGAGCCTGGGCCGCGACGGCGAGGGCGGCGGAGCAGCGGAGGGAAGGGTGATGGTCTGATGGAGCCGGAGCTTGGGACGACGGCACAGGGGAAGGTGGGTGGAGAGTGGAAGTTTGAGAGAAGGGACAGAAAAACCACTGAACGTAGTACCACCAACCCAATACGACGTCGTTCTACTTCCCGTTAGGCAAGTGGTGGCCCGTGGCCGTATCTTGGTCTGGCCAAACCGGTACCCAAACGTATTTTTTAATGAATGTAAATAATGAAGTGGAGAATATAAAATTTTATTTTTAATAATTTTTTAGTTGACACGTCACTAAGTTAACGGTCAACTTTAAGAGTTGACTGCCATATCAGCCAAAATTAACGGAGTTGGACAGAGAGTGACCAAACGTGAACGGTTTGAATAAACTGAAGTACCATCAATAAATTCAAATATTTTGAGTGACCAAACTTGAACGTTTTTTGTAATTTCAGTGACCAACCATGCAATTAACCCGTAAACTTTTATACATAAAATTTGTTACACACATGCATTAAGAATTGTTTTTGCCCACAAAATGGATAATCCGATTATAATTATGCTGCTTTTTTTTTTTTTTACAGTGTTAAATCGTTACTTATATTCCTCAAAAACCAATCGTCAGGATACATCAGTAAAGAAAGAATCCAACACATTCAGAACAATAATCCAATCCCCAGGGAGAGATCCCTGATTGAACGAGCGTGTAATCCAGTCAGCTCTAAAGTTGTATTTTCTTCGGATGAACGTTACCGAAATGCCTGGCACTCTGTTAAGAATGGCGGCCATAACACTGAGTCTTGCTGCACACGTCCACGGCCAACATTCAGGTGGCATTTCCAGAGCGTTCACTAGGGATTGACAATCAGACTTCACTTGAACATTTGTGTTCATTCTTTGAGCTGCTATGATAGCTTCCTGAAGAGCCATAGCTTCAGCTTCAATTGGCGAGGAACAAGTAACAGGACCAGCCGCGCCATCACACACCTGTCCATGGTCATTGATAATCACATAACCATAAGCCGCCCCCTGGGATTCATTGTTGAATGAACCATCACAGTGAATCTCAAAACTTGGATTACTTGGCGGTGGAGCAGTGGTGTTCCGGGGTGGAGTGCGTTGATCCGAAGGGAATCTCTGTTGCCTTGGGATCTTTGGGCATTCTGTCCATTGCTTCAAGTCCCGAGCAGCATTGGAGCACGATCTAGGGGGCCATGGGTTGACATTGCCGAAGACCTTTTCGTTTCTTGCTAGCCAGACAGCCCACAGCAGGTAGATGATAAGGTGTGGTGACTGCTCAGGGATTCCTTTTTGGATCTGGAACAGCCAATCAAGAGTATTCATCAGAAGCAACTTAGAGGGCACGAAAAATCTGAACCTAGTTGAAAAAACAGACTTCCTCGTTTATTCATCAGAAGCAACAAAACCGCAAACAATTTTTCAATCAGTAAAACCAAAACCAACCAGGGAAAAAACAAAATGTAAACACAGTGCTTCAGGCGCCGACTGCAGCCATAAACTCCAGATCCCTTCCCAATCTCTCCGCCGTCTCCGGCAACAAGCAAACCTCCACGTCCATGCTTCCCGCCTCCACTCCGGGATACACCGTAACCTTGCCGTCGAATTTGTTGCCGGCCCCGCTCCGCACCGCGACCGGCTTCCCCCAACCGAAATCGTTCCCGTAGACGTCGTACCTCGGGGAGCTACCCAGCAGCATCATTCCCTCTTCTAATTCCCCAATTTTTAGGAACTTGGGGTTCTTGATCCAAGACTCCATCGCTTCCTTCAGCTTCTCGTCCGTCTGCTCCGCCACCACTCTGTTGACCGCCGCCGCCACGCGCCCCAGCCCCTTCTCCGCCACCAGCAATTCGCCCTCCTTCAATACGACCGATTGGCTCACAAGCGCGTTCCCAAAGTAGTCCTCCAGAACTCTGGGCTGGAGCCGCGATCGAAATCCGAAGAATAGGAGGAATTTCCGATCTCGATCTGGATCGGGATTGTTGCTCCGATTTCGGAACACCGCTCTCCAAATGTGGGAAATTAGGGATTGCAGAGACGAGATCTGGCTGCCGGCGGCGGCGGCGGCGGCGGATTCGGCATTGGCTTGCGCTTTCAGCGCCGCCAGCTTCTCGCGGCTGAAGTGGAAAACCCGCTCTTTTAGATGCTGCGGTGGGATGACTTCTTGTTCCAAATTTTCGACCACCATCCACGAAAACCTGCAAACAACGGGTTTTACAGTTGGTCTTCAATCTATGAGTTATGAAGGCACTTCAAAATTTAGCAACTTATGCTTTTACATTTATAGTTCACCAATAGTGGCGGACGATCCCGGACATAGTAAAGCATTGGGCCGCATTTGAATAGTATTAGATATAGTAAACAAAAATAGATAACTCTCTCTCAAATTGTACTAAAAGTTCTTTTAATTTGACATATTCATCATTAATAGAATCTCTATCCATACCAATAACATACTCTCTCACAAAGAAAGTAGCTAAGCAATCAACGAGAATTTCATCGCTCATTTTATTGCGCAAATTAGTTTTCACATGTTTCATTGCTGAAAATGTTCTCTCCATGGTATCCATTAAAACGGGCAGGGTCAACACTAGACGAATCAACTAACAAAATAATTTGTATATGCTCATCTAGACCATTTTCCTAGTTACACAAAATCTCATTATCAAATAACACTCGACCTACTTTTAAATAATACCAGGCTGAATATCTAAGATCGAGAAATTTATAAGCACTACACTAACTCTGTATCTGAAGGAGGGCTGAGCCGTGACCCGGATTGGCCCAGCCCTAGATTTGTCGCCGTTTACCAACACACTTTTATGTAGAATCGTGCTTTTTGGCTTACAAGTGTAGTAAAAATCTATTTAAAAATTTACGGTTTTACGATTGTAGATCACCAAAACGCTATCACGATTTTGACTACATTATTTACACCTAACAATAAATTAAACATGTACCTGACCGGCTGATGCTTCTCATCCAGAAACCATTGCCTGCTGAAAACCCGCGACTTGTCGGAGCCGTTCATCATCTCGGCTGAATAACCACCACCGCCGCCGCCGCCGCCGGAGCGGCAGATTCCCGACCAGAAATTCATAAACCTCCAGAAAGTCGCGCCGTCTGCCACCACGTGGTTAATCGTGCAGCCGATGAAGAACCCATCGACGAGCTCCGTCACCTGGACCGCGAGCAACGGCTCGGAGAACCCGTGGTGGTTTCTCATCCAGTTGAGAGGGAAAAACGACCAGAGCACCGGCGGGACGTAGAGCGGCTCGAGGACATCGGCGACGGACACGCCGTCGGCCGCGGCGTGGACGAACAGAGCGCCGGCGTTGTTGTTGTTGTTGCAGTCGATGTAGACGGAGGCAGTTCGGCCGCCGTCGGCGGCGGCGTGTTTGTCGACGGAGAGTCGGCCGGCGAAGGGGTAGAAGGAGGCGAGCGCGCGGGAGAAGGAGGATTTGAGGGAATGGATGAATGTGGTTCGACCGTCGGTCGGACCGGTGGTTGGTTTGCGGAAGAGAAGGCCCTTTTGGATGGGCCCGAGGAGGATGAAACGCAGGTCGCATGGAGTGAGGGGAATGCGTTCTGCTTCTGCAGTGTGCCTCAGCTGCTCGGCGGCTTGAACCAAACCGGTGGACAGAACTCGAACTTGGCCGTCCGCCATTGTCTTGTGCTTTGCAGGAATAATGCTTTGGCTATCAGAAACAGTGGGGATTTGCAAGATTATAAGGTGGTTGATGGGATGAAAAATTATTAAGTGGTGGGTCCAACTTTTTTCTTAAAAAAAAATATATATGGCAATAAAATTATGGACACTTTGTAGTGCCCACTGCAACATGTTCTTACATTTTTAAACGGATTGCCAAGCTATTCCTTTTGATCCTTCCGATGTTGAAACGGATCAATCTCAGAATGAAACTTTGTTGCCTACGAAATACCAAACTGAAGAGAAGGAAATAGGTTGGATTCTCATCTTGAACTTTCGAAACTCTCTCTTGATACGAGTAGTAGTGATTGAGGGGAGAGAAAATTTGTAAGATAGCATCATACAAATAGTTATTTATGACTTTCGTCACTCATTCAATACTAAAGCGTAGTGTTCACATAACTCATTGTAAAGTAAAATGTTGTTATTTCTACCGCGCTGCAATGGAGGCACTTAGGTACGTAGCAATAGCGTTATGTTACTAATTTCTCTGATGACCATGCATCCACAAAAGCTCATGAATTGTTTTATCTATGTTCTAAATCTACCATATTATTATCAGAGACAGAGAGCTCATGATTAGGATTTAAAGAAGCTAGAACGTTTCAGCTAAAGGAGGATATGGTGGAAGAAGAGGGAATAAATAAAATTAAGAATCCAAGATCGCATGGATGAAGTTATATTTTGTTGTAATACTACTTATGTAGAAGTTAAATTAAAATGGATTGTATACATAAATGACGATAACTAAGTTCATTGTTTACTTGTGATTATGTGATAAAAAAAATATTAACATATATTAGGGTTCAAAATCTCATGTACATAATTTCTTCTGATTTGGTAGATCCATGAGACCCACGTTGCCTCCGCTATGGATGGCATGGTGATTAAAGAGTTGGGCCAATCATGGAAATGAAGTTGACTCCACATTCATCTGCCCATCATGTCCATTATCTTCTCATCCGTTTTTTTCCTCCCACGTGCTGGTTTACTGTTCATCACAGTCACACACCAATCACAAGGGTACTATTATTGATGAGTGTTGAAATCCTGCAACTCGATCTGTGGCGAAATCCTGCAACTCGATCCACTGCTAGAATGAGGCGCCTGAATCTTGATGAGCAGGAAACAGGGATATTTGGCTAGCAGGAGAGTCCATGAAACCTAATGTGTTGGCGATCGATCGATGTGATTCAGAAGAACTGAAGACTTAGCTATTGAAATACCGGCCGTGAGTATAGTTATCGATCTTTTGGATGAATACTTGGAGTCGTTTGCTTCAAGGATTTGGATGTGGGATTTGGTTCTTAAAAGTCATTGTTTTGTTGAGCCAAAATGGAGGGTACCAAATCCGGGGATTTGTAAATCCCACCTATTTACTTGGGATTTGAAGAAGGGAACAAATCCTTCATGAAAAATGACTTATATGTCCCTTTATAATTTATTTATTCCAACTTCACCCGTCATTAGTTATTCTTTGCACAACTACGATTGTCTCTTATAGCTACAAACTTAGCCATGAAAAGTAATATTGTAGCTAATAACATGCTAATGACTACATAATCTATGCCACAAGCTAATAACATAATAATGATTACATAATTTATTCATCATGGCTATTTGTGATGGTCTTTGTTACACAGAAATTTTGCCATAAGCGTATGATTATTTTGATTCAAATTTTGATTTAGATGGCAAGTAATACCCTTTGGCTAAAAACTACATTTGGTGTTAAAATAGTAATTCTAACAAACAAATTTAGCCAAGAATTGTAAGATTACAATTATATATTGTGATTATCTACACATTTTACTATCTTGTGGCTACTAATTTTACGAGCTTATTATAAAATGTCAATTTAAAAGCACAAATTAACAATACGACCACACGAATAAATTTAGAAGCCATCCACGCCATGGAGGTCGCGCTGGGCTCCATCGTCTTGCCCCTCCGAGTCATGTCAACTTGTATTGCCAATGACATAAGTCGTCCTTGCTAATCAACTTGCAAATTCGTATGATAATATCAAATTTGTCATATAATTATATCTACTCTCACGCTTAAAAATAGTGATTTATTAATGACTATATAGGAAAAATATTCTGGAACTTTATAATTATCCTGAAGATTGTTGTAATTATCCGAGTTCCATTACCAAGCTATAGCTGCTATCAATGAAAATCTCAACCCAACTACGTAATTATCCAAAAATAATCAATTTGGCGAATCTTAGTCAATTGTGCATAAAAATATCCATCTTTCTCTATAAATCAACCTCAAGAGGAATCTCTTCAGTTCCATGATTGTTCCCCAAAGGTTGCAAATCGTAGCCCTGCATCCACGCGATGATGAACATCAATCTCCTCCTAGCAATTATTGCCACCACAGCAGCTCTACTGCTCGGCACTACTGGATCCAATGCCATTAGCCGCCATGACGATCAAAGAAAGGCAAGATATAATCAAATTAATTAGCTATTTTGTGTTAATTAGGTTATGCCAATAATTACTGCAATTAATCAACGTTTTTTTTGGGTCTGATAATGACATGCAGACTCATATCGTGTACATGGGAAGCTTATCTCCCGAAAACAGCTTCAACCATCTCATGTCTGCTGCTGCTAATAATCGCCACCACAACTTGCTTTCAAGTGTACTTGGAGAGTGAGTATATGAAAACCTAGCTAGCGTTTTTATCATCTATGCATACTTTTAACTCTTAATCATGATTTAATTAGTGATAATTATCGTTATAATTTCTTCTTACAGTGAGGAGTTAGCTCGAAGCGTGAGAGTTAGCTCATTCGGGAGGAGTTTTGATGGCTTCTCTGCTCGCCTACTGCCCGAAGAAGCTGAAAGGCTCAAAGGTCTAGCTAGTACTTCATTCACTAACACTTAATTAACGTCCTTATCAAATTAGTACTTAATTAATCAAAGAACCCTAATTAAGCAATGTCTTGATATATGCGTACTCATTATTAATTATGTGTTTTGGAAAATGTTCAGAGCATCCAAATGTGGTGTCTGTTTTTCCCAACCAAATTCGAGAGCTCCACACCACAAGGTCATGGGACCTCATCGGAGTGACTCAATCGGTCAGGAGAAACCTCAAATTTGAGCGTGACGTAATCGTTGGCGTACTCGATACAGGTTCGCAGTCAAATTTGTTTTTTTTATATCGTAAATGTTATTATCTCCCATATAATTGTCATGTTGAACCAACATTATCACTAATACGATTGTGGTGATATTTAGGTATAAACGTTGATGCCCCGAGTTTCGACGACAAGGGTTTAGGTCCACCTCCTGCGAAATGGAAAGGAATTTGCCAGGAGGGCGCCAACTTCACCCATTGCAACAAGTAATCAATATTTCAGATTTCCAAACCCTAATCTAAAAATAACCCTAATTACTAATTAGTGTATGTTTTTGTGCATGCAGCAAGGTCATTGGAGCAAGGGCTTACGCCTTTGACAATGACCATGGAGAACCCGCCGGCTCGAGTCCGTGTGATCTCGAGGGTCACGGGTCCCACACCGCCTCCACGGTGGCTGGCTCCCTGGCGAAGGGAGCCAGCCTGTACGGCCTGATGAAGGGCACCGCCCGCGGCGGGGTGCCCTCCGCCAGGATAGCAATGTACAAGGTCTGCGGCAAGTACTGCACCGACCTCAACATACTGCACGGCTTCGACGACGCCATCGCCGATGGCGTCGATGTAATCTCGCTCTCGGCCGGCGGTGGTCCGTTTGCCGGTTACTTCACCGACGCCATCTCCATTGGCTCCTTCCATGCCATGAGGAAAGGAGTGCTGACCAGCGTCGCCGCCGGCAACAGCGGCCCCGATCCCAACACCGTTTCCAACGTCGCCCCGTGGTTGATGACCGTCGGAGCTAGCGGCACCGACCGCCAGCTCGTTACACCCATCACCATCGGCCGGGATGGCTTCAAAACCTTGGTATATATATACTTACATATTCATTTGTCAAAAAAACCCAATTACATCGCGTCTTAATTATACGCGAACAAAAAAGACTTGGTCTGATGGTACTATCATTGGTTTTGAACTGTAGAAGTCACGTGTTTGAATATCTCAAGTAGTATGTACCAATGCATATACTAACTAACTAAAGTAATGCGTTTTTTTTTCCAGGGGAATTCGATCAATACCGTTTCTGCGGGAAAGAAACTTCTTCCTCTCGTCAGCGGGCGGACAGCTCAGAACTCGAGCAGTAACGACGCGAAAACCTTTCCAGGGTAGGTTTTTTCGTGATAAATTTCGGTGACCATGTCGCACACACGTCGATACGTTTGTATATTTTTTTTAATCGTGCTTGATGCATGTGATTGCTAGGGCTTGTATCGACGGGAGTACAAGTAAAGAGATGGTGAAGGGCAAGGTGGTTTTGTGCAATGGAGCCATAGAAGGGGATAGTGTCCTAAAGCGGGATGGGGCGCTTGGGATGTTGATGGCCGACTACAAGGGCGAGTTGGACGCCGCCTATGCTTTCGTCCTCCCAACCGCGATGATCACGCCGGAGCGTTATCTTGCCATTGAAAGATACATCAACTCCACCAAGTAATTATTAATTTAACTTGTTCATTTATCATCATCATTACTAGTTATCCTTATTCAATTATTAATTTCCAACCACTTTTTATTTATTTTTTCAATTTGCCATCGTATATATATATATAGGAATCCTCAGGTGTTGATACATAAATCAAGGAGCATCCACGTGGACTCGCCATTTGTAGCCTCCTTCTCGTCTCGTGGTCCTGATCGCTATTCCAAAACAATACTCAAGGTACGTAATTCATTCATTAATGGGATTCTTATACATAAGGTAGAGATTGCATATCATTAAACGACAATTTCACTAAAATGTCGGAAATTCGTATTGGTATTATCACTAATTATATTTCAAGTCTCAGTTACTTATACATTTTTTTTTTTTTCAT